TTTAATCGATCTTCAATTCAATTAACCCGTATCGATTCAGGAAACCCCAGAATTGATTCTTAATGTGCTTTAGGTTGTTCAGTTGACGTCAGAATTATTAGGCCCCTTTATATTTTTTCCTAATTACTGTTTAATGGACAGATTTTTTTAACAAATTTTTAAAGTAATAGTTTTAATAACTAATTACTAATAACTGATTTATTTTATCTTTGACACAATGGCAGTACATAATTAAGGGTTCCCACACTTTTTGAAAGTACATGAAAGTGCTTGATATTCGCACATATTAATTCAAAGCCTGCAAAGTATTTAAAAACAAACACAGGTCCTTGACAGTGCTTGAATTTAAAGTCGGTGTTATTTCAACAATTGCACTGTGCCACTTTCAAAAACTATCTAAGACAAATCTAAGAAAATCTTAACTTAAAAATCTTAAATTTGAATCTTATACATGAACTATGACAAATATTGCATTTTATCAATACTTCAGAAACTGCATTTGAATATTGCCAGGATTGAAGTCAATTAATTGTAATAAAGTTCTTTGAACATCACTTTAACCTGTTGTTAAAAAAGGTCACCATTTAAAAAAAATTACGTTTAAAACATCATCATGACATTTTAATGTAAAAATTAAATATAAGTAAAGGAAGGACTTTCTTGATGCTACTGTATATATGCTGGGACACTGAATTACAAAGGTGCTTGATTTAAAATATTAGTGACCTAAAAAGTCCTTGAATTTGGTGTCCATGAAAGAATGGGAACCCTCTAATAATTTACTAGATATGTTTTCAAGATACTAGTATTCAGCTTAAAATAACATTTAAAGGCTTAACTAGGTTAATTTGGTTAAAGTCAGGGTAAATAGGCTGTAGACAATCATAGAAAAGATATTGCCCAAGGGAGCTAATAATATTGAGATTAAAATGTTTTTTTTTTTTTATTATTGCTTTTATTCTAGCCAAAATAAAGCAAATACTGCTTTCTCCAGAAGAAAAAATATTATAGGAAATACAGTGCAAAAATTATTGAAGTCATTTTGACTTCAACTGTGAGTATTAACTGTACTTCTCTCATCCTGAGGATGTTGCAATCTTTGGAGTTACTCTTCCACTGCTTAAAAAAGCAAATAAAAACAAAATGAAATATGTGATAGTATTTTAAAAAATAAGTCCACAAAACCACTGTGGTTTGCCATACTAATTAAAAATAATTATATAGTCCTTATTGGTAATGTATTTGATTGATGTAGCCTTAATAGACCATTTCGAGGGATGCAAACAAAAACAACAGTCCCAACGTATTTCCTGTTATACATTATTAATTTTTAAAGCTTCTGAGAACCCAAAAAGTGATAGCTGTATTAGCAAGAAGTTATGATTAAATTGCCTCATCACAGTTATGAAATAGTTTGATAACAAGCAGGAAATGTTCATGGGCCAATGACATGATCACATTGAAATGGTCTACAGTAGGAAGTTTTCAGTTACCAGCATTTGTTTAAATATGTATTTAATGTCTGCAAAATGTAATCATATCTATATTGAATTGATTCTGTATTGAATCATATTAAATTGTAATTAAAATTGGCACAGTTTAATTACGAATTGATTTAAATGACCAACTTGCTCTCAATACGGAGCCCTGCAGCACTCCTGAATGATAAATAAATGGAGGCTTGACCTGCCATTACATAAATGGCATTATTCAATCACCAGCGTCCATCTGTTTCAGTACGACCCTTAAGAAACGCATCCGATGGTTAACTGGTGTTGTGACCCAGATCGCTGCCAAACTTCAGCGGCCAGACTTAAATGACATTAATGGACTAGATAATTAGTCAGGCTTGAGGTTCAAAGACAAGTGGCTATTGTAGCTTGTGTGTGTGTGTTTACAGACCATGTGCGAATCAGTAAACAGATGGTGCAGAAGCATTGTGTTAATAAGAAGAGCAAGAAGCATGAAGAATAAAGCTGTCTAAAGTAAACACAGTTACTGTGAAAATCAGCTGACGGTGAGAGCTGCTTATTAGCCGAAGAGCTAGATTGAAATTGGGGGTTTTAATCGAACGGGCAGGGAGAGGTTTTTTGATGTACTGTATTAAATGGTTGAAATGATTGTAGTATAATAAAAAAAAAACTCCAATTTAAAATAATGGTCCATTAGTTAATGTTAATTCATGTATTTACTAACATGGACAAACTATTAGTAATACATTTATTCCAAGATTTATTTATCCTTGTTAACGTTAGTTAATGTTATTTAGATTTAATTTGGTTAGTTCATGTTTACTTTGTGCATTAACAAATTTGGATTTTAATAAAGCATTAGTTAATGTAGAACTATGATTAAGAAATGCGTTAGAAGATTATTCATACTTCGTTAATGTTAGTAAATACATTAACTAAAGGACCATTATTGTAAAGTGTTATCACATATATGTAAACATTAAGGGTTTAGATGTCTCGAGTTATCTTACACTTTACATTCAGAAATCTTTATATTTAAAAAATTTGATTTTTATATCAATTTTTGCATTTTAGGGAGTCATATTAAACTTGATGTTTTATCATTTCCAGTAGGGATATTTGATATTGGCTATCAGTGCTTTCCACACATAGACTTTACTTGGGTGGGCCGCCCAGGTATATTAATGATTGCCCAAGTATATTTGATGACAGTTTTTTTTAAACCAACATTTTAATCCTTTACACTTTTTTTAATATACGTCAACAAACATATGTGTTCGATTAACCAGTGGAAAATCTCCTCTCGCCCTACACATTCTGTACTGCTCATTGTGTATACACTTCCTCATACAGTCTCACGTGCTCACGTGAGACACACAGAGATGGGCCTTTTTGAGGTTTAAAAATGCGTCTGGCAACTCCGGCTGGTATTTCTAAATCTCCTAAAATGTCAGGGAGTCGACTTTTGCTTTCGCTTTCTAAAGTTGTTGCATTTTTTTCATTACTATTTTATTAAAGACTACTTTCCGCTTGGCTTCACAGCTAACAGCACGCATAGCCGCGAGACAGAGAAAAAGTAAATAATAGATTCTCTAACCTAAACGATTTTAAAAAAATACTCGGAGAGAATGAAATAACATCTAAACTGTCTACCAAATATATGTACACTATATAGATGATCAATCAACTCATTTGCCATATTTAACTAATTAACACTTTTTTATTATAATTATTAATGAATTATTAACAAATATTATCCATTTTATAGATATTGGCTGTTTTTATAAATTTTTTCTATAATTTATTTCTCATTTGGTGTTTGTTAATAGTTTGATGTTAATATAATGCAAATGTTATACACATCTAAAATGCTATTGCAGTACTTTTCTAAATGTCATGCCAATGAAGCAACCTGAACTTGAGAGAGAGGAAGACTGAGATTGCAGAGAGTAGCGTAAATAACATTTTTTTTTTCAAGAGCCTTTTTTAGAAACTTTAACCCATTGAAAAAAAGCGGTGTATAACAGTGTCATAATAAACAAAAGTATTATTAAAAATCACATTTTATCACCATGGAAAAGGATGTGTTTCAATCCAGCTACCACCGCCAGTATATTTTAAACCTCTGTGAAGCACTGTACTATAGTGTTGTAATATTTTTAAACCAAATTGGAATAAACAACATTTTATGTAGATTTTTTTGCTGAAATTAGGAACAGAAACCAAAACCAAAACAGCAGATATAAAGGTCATGTGAACCTCAAGATGTAGTAAAAAAATGCACATAGTATGTATCTGACCCAAACTAATAATCAAAACACATCTTAAAGGGATAGTTCACCCCAAAATGAAAATGATCTCATCCCTTTCTTTTCCTCATGTGGACCTTTGAGATATTTTTTTTTTTTTAAATGTTCAAGAAAAGTAAGAAACTCATTTGTTTTGAACAAGGGTGAGTAAATGAAGCCAGAATTTCAGATTTTGGGCGGACTATCCCTTTTTTAATTCTTCACTTTTGCCAATTGGTGAAGTTTTTTCTAGCCACTGTTGCCGCTGGCTTGCATGGTTCAGGATCTGTAGAGCTGCGTATCGATGGATTTGCTCTTCAGTGTTTGGACTCTCAGTATTGATTATTAAACCACTATGAACTGAGCTGAGCTGAACTGAACTTAAACTCTGAAAACCGAACTACACTGTTTTAATTTACTATGATCTTCTATGTGAAGCTGCTTTGACACAATCTATCAATTGTAAAAGCGCTATACAAATAAAGGTAAATTGAACTGAATTGAATTACCAGATGTAAGCAAAGAATGTAGCCTTTAAGTGTTCATTGATCAGTGTTAATTAATGAGCTTCCTCAAAATACAAAGCTATAATCTACACATTTATTTAATAAATTCATCAGATTTGGTTGTGTTAGGGTTTTGTCATATTTACACCACAAATTAGCCACAGAAATGCTTTTAAAGTTCTATTCATTAGTCTTTTAACACAGATTGTTTAATGCAGCTCAGAGGTGCCATGAATGCATTTACACAGTAATTACAACTGATTAAAACTATGCCCCAAGTTGGGTCAAAGGAGGTTAGGCTTGCATTGTTTAGGCAGCATTATTTTGATCAGTCACTTTAAATTAATTAGCAGCTTTAAATTAAGCATATGCAAAAAAACACCTCTTGATATAAAGGGTTCACATTATATGCAATTCACATTCTCAATAAAGCGTATTTTTGCTGAGAGTTTGAAAGTCACAAGTTTCAGACGGAATAATGAACTGCAATCATGCCATACACTAAACCGCACACAGTAGCTCCCTTTTTTTTCTCTCTCTCTCTGTGCGGTGTTGATAGTCTTTGAAGGAGCATAGACGTTTCCCAGGGGCTCGTCTGATTAATTCATATTTGTGTTCATTTCAAAAGAGGTCTGGTTTGCTTACAGCGCCGTCTCACTCTGTGTTCTGCGTTCAGATGTGCACTTTCAGACTGCTTACTTCCTTCTCCATCTCTTTTGTTTGTTTGTTTGTAGATGAATGCTGTTGACACACTGGGTCAGACGGCTTTGCACCGGGCGGCTCTGGCTGGACACTTACAGACATGCAGATTGCTGTTGAGTTATGGAGCCGATCCTGCCATCGTCTCTCTGCAGGGCTTCACAGCCGCCCAGATGGGCAATGAAGCTGTACAGCAGATCTTAAACGGTAGGGATTGAATCTGGGGTTTGGGTTTGTTTATATGAGCTTAGATGTTATACGTGAACAGTTATGGAAATGCACAGTAATGTATGCTCATGTCTGTTAGAAAACATTCCAGTAAGGAACTCAGATGTGGATTATAGACTCTTAGAGGCAGCAAAAGCTGGAGACTTGGACACTGTGAAGGTGAGAGATGCTTTTATTTGGGTTTAATATTAAGATGGTTCATTTGTTGTCCAGCAGTTAAGGAGTAAATAGGGGTTTGGAGGTGAGAAAGTAATTCTCTAGAAAGAGAAATTGTCCTTATTTATTATTATTTTTTTTGCAATAATAACATTATATAAAATTAAATAAATAATATTAATATATCGATGACTTAAATAAATAGATAACTTGTTTAAAGTAGATGTCTTTTTGTAGCGCTATGTTAATAAAAACTGTTGTAATGGTTATTACAAATATCCACCAGGTTACATGGGGAATAAAATATATCTGCAGTTATGGATATTGAACTTCTATTTAGGCTTTTGTCTGAACAACAAAAAAAAACACCCAAAACTGAGAGGGTTTAGATTCTTTATGCCAGTGTAACTTTTCAGGGATGCAGCTTTAATGTGTTTTGTTTCTAATGCATGACCTTGAACAGGGCAGATGTAAGATAACCTTCGACTGTTTTGTGTGTATGTGTGTGTGCTCAAAAGAATCGCTGAGCCAGCATACACTCAAAGGTATCCTTTTACATACACTTCAATCTATGTTTGGAGGTGTTTTTGCCGTACAGCTGATCTTTGAACCATTTCTTTGTCAAATAATATTTGACAAAAATATTTAGCTTCAGTTATTTTTAGGATTGATACAAATATTTTTAGGCACCCAGTTAGCATATTATAATTATTTCTGAAAAATATTGTTACGTTTAGACTGCGAGTCCATCTGAGCGTTTTTTTTTTTTTCTTTTTCTTGAGCTGAATGTTTGGATTCTGTTTTTGTCAATGGTAGCGCCACGTTTTTTGAGTGCTTGCAGTGTAGCGTGGCACTGATCGGGCATTTTACAGTCAGCGATGAGTGTTTGCTGTTATTTTCAGCCTTTGCATGTTGAAAATGCAGCGTTTATCAGTGTCCCTTTTGAGTTAGCCATCAAATCACAGTGGAGGAGGGGCGGGACTATACCACACAACTGTCTCCACCACCACAACAACTGTAAGGGCAAAAAACGTTAACAGTTTTTTTCCCCCAGTTTTTTTATTTATTTATTTATTTTTTTTTACCAGCGTTTGCATTTAGGCAGTGCAAAAACGGTCTGGTGGATACACAGCTTTAAGACTGAAAATGCAGCTTTACCTTCACGGGAATAAATGATAAAAATAATAAATAATATATTTAATTCTACATTAATGTAATAATATACAAAAATATTAGTGTTGGGCAAACATAAATCACGTTTAAATGCTTTAAAAATTGTGTTACTATGTTTATGTGATACATACATGCATAACAACAAAACTCTACAAAACTTTTATGTTACATAGATATTTAAATTTATATATAATTTGTATCATATGCATATATATACATCTTATGTGTAAATATAAATTCACATAGATTTTCTCAAATGTAAAAAAGATTTTAAAAGATTAAAAACTGTTTTTATTCTATTCCAAATTATTATTAATTTATTATTATTCCTCATTGTTAAGCATTACCTCTACATTAACAGACATTAATAACCAGTTTATAAATACTAATGCGCTATTTATGACTAGTTTTGTATGTTTTGTTCTATTCTTGACTTTTTTTATGTGCCTGCCAATTGTGTTTTCAATGATTTATTTATTTTTTTTGTGAACAATTGTTTTGTGAACAATTGTAATAAAAAATGTCATTCTTAATATTGCAAACTATTACATATCAATCAAGTGTTTTTGTGTCATTGTTCTGAATGTAAATACAAATCTTTTTTTTTTTTTTTTTTAACAAAGCCAAGTTCAGTCATTTAAGCTGACTCTTAAGTCAGGGGTGCCCAAACTCGGTCCTGGAGGGTTGCTGTCCTGCAGATTTTGGCTTCAACTTGCCTCAACACACCTGCATGGCTGTTTTAAGAAAGCCTAGTAAGAGCTTGATTAGCTAGCCCAGGTGTGTCTGATTGGGGTTGGAACTAAATTTTGCAGGACACCAGCCCTCCAGGACAGAGTTTGGTCACCCCTGCTCTAAGCCTTCCAATCTGAAAGTTTCTAACCTCAAACTTTTGATTGGTAATGTAAGCCTGAAGATGGTGATTTAGAAACAGACGATAAAATGTCTGTACGGATGGATGCCTTTGATGCCATCTGATCCTTATTATCTGAAAGCCTCATTATGCGTAAAGTAATTAGATCAGAGCACCAATTACACTTTTGTCAGGCAATTAATCAGAATCTCTATTGACGCATACCCTAACGCTGGCCTGCTACCCTATAAAAGCAGATCAAATGAAATTAATTCTGCTATGTATTTATATCCGAGGGAAAGTTTTGCATTTGCAATATTAAAATTTGCATAACGTTTAATTGCATTTTCTCTTTTTTCATCTTCTGCAGCAACTTTGCTCCCCTCAGAATGTGAACTGTCGTGATCTGGAGGGTCGTCACTCCACGCCGCTCCACTTTGCTGCCGGTTATAATCGTGTGGCCGTGGTTGAATATCTTTTACACCATGGCGCCGACGTCCACGCCAAAGACAAAGGGTGAGACATTCTGCTGTTCAGTTTAGAGTACACCCAATTACAAGTGATAATTCATGCAAAAATGAAAATCCTGGCATCATTTACTCATCACTCACTTGCCACAAACCTGTTTGAGTCTCTTTCCTCTGTTGAACACAAAATAAGATATTTAGAAAAATGTTAAAAACCTGTACCCATTGACTTCTATTGTATCTCTGTTTGATGGTAAATGGTTAGTGGTCTGTTTAATGGTTAATGGAAGTTAATGGTTACAGATTTCCAACATTTTTCAAAATAAATAGTTTTGTGTTCAACATGAAAAGAAAATTCATAAAGTTTTGAAGGCAACACAGTGGCTCAGTGGTTAGCACTGTTGCCTCACAGCAAGAAGGTTGCTGATTCAAGTCCTTAGTGGAGTTTGCTTGTTCTCCCCGTGTTGGCTCCGGTTTCCTCCACAGTCCAAAGACATGCGCTATATGTGAATTGAATAAACTAAATTGGCCGTAGTGTTTGTGTGCGGATGAGTGTGTATGGATGGTTCCCAGTACTGGGTTGCAGCTGGAAGGGCATCCGCTTGTGTAATACATATGCTGGATAAGTTGTTGGTTCGACCCCTGATGAATAAAGGGACTAAGCTGAAGGAAACTGAATGAATGAATAAAGGTTTGAAACCACTTGAGGGATGAGTAAATATATTTGAAATTTTTGGGGAACTATCCCTTTAAATCCAGAGTCTTAAGTTTGCCTTTACACAAAGGTTAGTGGCTGCATAATGTATTGAAATGAAATCAATATCATTATGGTTCAGTCTAATTGTCAGACCAAGCTGGCTGAGATTAAATAGCTAATTTACCGTTTATGCTTTGTAAATCCCTTATATATGACATTTAAATCACTCTCTTATTTACCTTTTTGATATTTGGTGTTTTTTAATCAGTAAGTAATGATTTTGTTCTTTTTGAAATGGTGCATTGTTCACAAATGTTTTATGAGATGTTCCAATTTTGCTTTGGATGAAAACATAGTAATTGAGATTTAGCTTGGACAACAAATTATAATATTTGTGTAAATATTGCCATACAAACAGTTCTTGAAATAATTTTTGGATGATTGGTATCTAAGAGTGTTAGATTGTTTCCCAGTACTGGGTTGCAGTTGGAAGGTATGCTGGATAAGTTGGTGGTTCAATCTGCTGTGGCGACCCCTGATTAATAAAGGGATTAAGCTAAAAAAAATGAATGAATGAATGAATGAATGAATGAATGAATGAATGAATGAAATCTTAAGAATGTATGAGTGTACACCAGTACTGGGTTGCAGCTAGAAGATATGCTGGATAAGTTGGTGGTTCATTTCCCTGTTGCGAGCCCTAATGAATAAAGGGATTAAGTCGAAGGAAAATGAATAAATGATTGGAATCTATTACATACTCTACCTTTCAATCTGACATTATCAAGATGAAATTCTTATGCGACAGTTCCTGTCAAATTTACTTACCAGACTATAGCAAACAAACTGTGATCATATGATAAATGTTGTAGGTGTCTAAATAATCTTCGGGTTTGACTTTAATTTGTCAGCATTAGTTTTCAGCACTTGAAGGTAAACTATAATCTCTGTGTACCTCTTGATTTCCCTGTGTTCTGCCAGAGGTTTGGTGCCGCTGCATAACGCCTGCTCGTATGGTCATTATGAAGTGGCTGAGCTGCTAGTCAGACATGGAGCATCGGTCAACGTGGCTGACCTATGGAAGTTCACCCCGCTGCACGAGGCTGCGGCCAAGGGCAAATACGAGATTTGCAAACTGCTTCTGAAGGTACTGACCTCTTCCCGTCACTCCATATACTTGTTCATTCAAGTGATACATCTTCTCTCCAGACGCCTGACAGCCTGGAGTTGTTAATGGTTTTTTATCACTCTGTAAAAGTTTGTAAATGCAGTCGGAAACGCTGCAGGGCCCCCAGGTTTATTGGCTTTGAGCAGACGTCTGTTGTTTTAATGTCGTCTTCTTTCATCGCACCTCAGGTTACTGTCACTGAGAGCTTCGGCTTCAGAGCTGGAAGGATTGTGCATATTAGCCTTCAAACAAACATGTCACTTTGTTTCCTGAAGTGGAACTGCTGAGGTTGTCTTTGGTTGAAACGGCAGAAAAGACATTTGCATTTCTCATGCTCTGAATGTAAATCTGCAGGAACAATTGTTGCGTGATTTTGAAGCTGTGACCTTGTTGACAGTGATCTCCTGATTTTGTATGATTCTACTGAAGAGAGTCCAAGGGTGCTTTCACATATGTAGTTCGCTTCATTTGGTTCAGACCAAGGGAAATAAATGATACAATGTTGCATTTTCAGCCGTCTTTGGGTCGTTTTCACACCACACTGCTGGCTTTGGTCCGAACCAGTTGAAATGAACCAAAATCCAGTCATCTGACAAAATCCACATCTCTCATTGGCCAGATGTTGTTGAACATATTTCCTAAACTGCTTATTGATTAGTTATAAATCACCTGCGGGAAAATGTCAATGAACTCCCCCTAGTAAACAAAAACGGCAGACAGAAAATGTTGTTTTACTTTGGAGGGACGACTGCGCTGACTGATTGTATGCCTGCTGTAGACAAACTATACATTTTGAGAATGAAGCACGGCTGCGGCTGGAAAACAGTGTTTTAATGCATCACTCGTCACTTCAGGAGGAGGCGTGAATTAATTTAGCTAAACTGCAACATGGCCATCTTGCGCAAATATTTACAACGATCCATCAGGTAATGTTTTCCCCTCTCTCTCTCTGTTGGTAAAGTGCTGTCAACAAATATTTTTCCTCCATATCCCATAATACACAGCGCATCGGCCTACGGCAGCTGGATTAGTCCAAAAGTCGCAGTACTTTTTGCGGTTGCCTGTTTTAGTACGGATAATAATCTCACCACAAACGAACCGATTCAGGGTTCGTCTGAAAGCATACCGAGACCACCTCTTCAAGCAGGTCTCGGTACGCTTATTTGGTTCGCTTTTGGTGCGCACTCGAGTACGATTGCTGCATTCTCACCTGCCCAAACGAACCGCACCAAAAGGGAAAACGAACTCTAGTGCGATTCAGTCGAACTAAATAAGGCAGGTGTGAAAGCACCCTTAGTTTAAATTTGATTTGGATTCAGAATTATTGATCTATTGCAGTAAACTGCACTAAAATATTATGAGACACTATGTTTTAATTCATTGGGGTTTGCATAAAGATGAAATTGAGTCGATTTGAGTTTTCTAAAACTATAATCAACAAATCAATAGAAAAATGTGTAAGTATGTACATATATGTTAGCCCGTCTGTACATTTTCTATTCTTTTAAAAATATTTCCCAGTTGATGCTTAACGAAAAGAAGATTTTAGACTTTTTTTCTTATTACTAATTTGTTTTGCCTAGATGACAGTACATTATATTTTAATAAATAATGACGCTGCTACTTGTGTGATATTGCATTTATACAATAGTTCGATGACATAATCGTGTATATAAAAAAGAAAATCAAACACAGAGAGTCTCAAAATCCTGTTTTTATGAGGAACTACTTTCTTCCTCATCATTTCATTCACATCTACAGCTGACATCAGAACAGCAGAAACCATTGCTTTGTCACCAACGTCACTTTAGAGCTCGTATTTGAATGGTTCTCTACCGCAATGTCTAAAGTGAAGACAAAACCGGTGATTTTGCTCACATTTTAAGATTATAAGGCTGAACCGCATGAAATGTCATCAGTCTACAGGGATTTTACTAGTATTTTTTCTGATGCAATCGGGAGATCACAATAATTAACCTCTACCAGATTACTGTTTGTTTGCAAAAAGAAAAAAACATTAAACACACGCGGGCATTTCTTCTTTTTTCTTTTTACTCGACTAGTCTGCAGTAACAAAAACAGGAGACTCATTAGAAACAAACAGATGGCCAACCAAAAATAACTCAGGGTTATACAAAGAGTGGACAACATAAAATGCATACATTCTTAATATGTGAGTCCCATCTCACACTCAATACACTACAATTAAATGGTATAAATACAGCACTGCAACTTATAAAAGAGAGAGAGATTGACTTAGAATGTCATTTATCTGTTCAATAATGATTTGATCAGCTGTAGTTCGAAATTACAAGTTTTTCTCTTCTAAGGGCTTATTGTGCTGTCTATGTTGCCAACTTGTAGATGAACAAAGTCAACCGTCTTTGGTCTGCTCAATGAAAGGCTAATGGCCGCCGACGCGCTGTCTCTCAGAAATCATAAATATTTAAGATTAGGCACTATCCTTATAAATTAACTGCATAGTTACAATCTAAACAACTATAGTGTCAAAATATATATTCTCTAAAAAGCCTTAAAAGTACATTATGTTGTCCAACAGCTGCAATATTTGTCAAACTGCAGAGTGTCCTTTGCTTGTCACTGTATGTGGGCAAAGTAATACACACGGGTTGAAGGATGAAGAGGCTGGATGAGTGCTGTTATTTGCAGAACATTGCACGGCTATCAGCCAATCATATTAAAGAATCAGACTGAAGTTATATATAATAAAACAATACAAAACTAAAATATTTACATATTTATGTATAATTTGTATTAGATATGAATATTAAATTTTTGTCAAATATATACATGTATATTTATATGGATATGCAAAATAAAAGTGCACAGCTTACAGTACATATGTAAATGCAGGCTTTTATTTTCGATGTGATTACTACAGTATCTCTCTCTTTCTCTCTCTTTATATATATATATATATATATATATATATATATATATATATATATATATATATATACACACAACAATTCTATCTGGTTCTCAAATCTGATTGGCTGATAGCCGTGCGATATTCTGCAATATCAGAACTCCTACAGCCTTTTTACCCTTTGTGTATTACTCTGCCCACATATGCCTCCCTGTATTACTCGTGCCATCGCATGCCTCCCACCAGTGCCTATATACAGCCATATCGCACTGCTACTAGTGTGATATTGCTCATATATATATATATATATATATATATATATATATATATATATATATATATATATATATATATATATATATATATATATATATATATATATACACATACACACACACACACATACAGTTAAAGTCAGAATTATTAGCCCCCTGTTTATTTTTCCCCCCAATTTCTTTCTAAACATTATAGTTTTAATAACTAATTTCTAATAACTGATTTATTTTATTTTTACCATGATGAAAGTAAATAATGTTTTATTAGATATTTTTCAAGAAATGGACTTCAACTACACACACATGTAAATTAAATGTCTGAACGTTGATCAAGTACATCTGAAGAAGTATAAAGTGAAAAGGACTAATCTTACACAAAGCTTTTTCTTTTTTTTTTTTACAAGTCAGCCTTTGTGCTTCTCTGTATATCTGAGCTCAAAGTGCTTATCTCTTACAGCACGGAGCAGACCCCACCAAGAAGAATCGGGATGGGAACACTCCATTGGATATGGTGAAGGAGGGAGACACAGATATCCAGGACTTGCTCAGAGGCGATGCAGCACTTCTGGATGCCGCCAAAAAAGGCTGCCTGGCCCGAGTCCAGAAGCTCTGCAGCCTGGAGAACATCAACTGCAGAGACACACAGGGACGCAACTCCACTCCACTGCACCTGGCAGGTAATGAAAAATCATCATCTCACCGCTTCTCTCTTTCAAACGGAAAAATCAAGCTGTAGCACCATTCGGAGAATTGAGTCTCTGCAAAAGCATTGAAGCCGTGTGTGAGATATCATCCCACCCCTAGAGAGCAGGCAAAGGAAACCCAAAAGGAAAGAAAAGGGGGGACATGTTGAATTAAATTTTGGCTCTCATCCCTTTCTGAGCACAGTGTAAGCTTGGCTTCCTGGAGGGGATTCAAAGGCTGCCTTGCCAAATAATAAATCTGACTTGCACACTGTTCGTGCCGTCACCTACATTTACATGCACAACAATGTTCCTCGGATGGCTCATGTCCTCGATAAAGTCCTATTCAGAGTAATCTCTTTATGCCAGTCTTCCCTCATGATCTTATTCAGGAGTGTTCTTGTGTTTGAGAAAATGTTTCAGTATATGAAGGGTCACTTCAAAGCTTGGTTTGTGACCTTTTAAAAGACACCGAGAAAAAATGCAATGAAAAGTTTGCCACCAATGTATTTGGTGGCGTTTGTAGTCTGTAACATTTACAAGAATTATGGGGGGGAAATAAATGTAACTTACTTATTTAAGTTTAGTGGTTAAAATGCATTTTTTTTATTTAAAAATGTTAGTATTTATTAGTAAAATATTACAGCCGAGGACAAGTGTCTTATTAATAATAATAATATCAATAATAAAATGAATATTAACACTACTACTAATAAGAAAAAAATAATTGTAATCCATGTCAAAATAATATATAGTAATATACAGCTTCATAATGTTTTTTTAGCATGTCTATAAAGTTGTCTGAATGTAAATAATCGCACAAACACACACACACACATAGTAATAATAATGTAATATAACATTGAAACCAGTGTTGGGGGTAGCACATTATAAGTAATGCGCATTACGTAATAATATTACTTTTCCAAAGTAACGAGTAAAGTAATGCATTACTTTTAAAAATAAGTTATATTAATTGAGTTACTTTAAAAAATAGTGTAAAACAAGTTACTTTTTACCTTGCTTAATTGGCTTTTACAAAATATATTGCAGAATAAAAATGACCTTAGTCAGGTCGAATCACACACTCAATGAGAGAGTGTGCTGAGACTGAACAGAGAGTTGGTTTGCATTCATCATCAGCATCAGGTCTCTTTTTTATAGCAGATGAGTCAGTGTACTGTTCTAGTAACTGAATAGCTCAGGGTTTTGGTTTATTTCGAGTGAGAGGGGGTATCCAGTATGTTACTACTAAAGATGCAAACCGTTTCATGACAACTCGTTCTATCGGTTCACTTAGGAGATCCGGTTAAAAACAAACAATTCATTCGCTCGTCATCATTAGACAGTCAGAAACAGAAACAATGGCACAGACTGGAGACTTACATTTTTGCAATGGATTCTTGTTATTTTGAACTCATCGAAGAAAAGATTATGTGTAGATTATGTTTAAGTAAGACTATTGACAGCTGCAAGAAACATGACATCGGAAAAAAATAAATAAAATTGAATGCGAAGCACTACACCCACACCATACCTCCAGCTAAACAACAAATGATTGACATCAGTTCACGTTCTCCTGGTAAAACAATTAATTCAACTAAAAAAGTTTTTAAAAAATTTATTGTTGAAGAGATGCAGCCACTGTCTACTGTAGAAGCATTGTTTATTATAGTAAGATGTTTTCTCTTTTGGATTGCCATTTACACATTTGTTAAGGCCACATGAAGAAATTTATTCAATATCTAAAGCTCAAAGATTTATTTTGACTTGGGGATTTTTTTATTGTCTAACTGTTCATTTTGTTATTAGTCATTTTAAAGGTTTAAAATCAGTTTTTGCCTTAATATAAATGATTTTAAGTTAGTACTCTTAGGCTTTATTGCAATCTTTATCTCAATGGACAGTGAATTTACTTAACTAACTACACAAAACATTCAAAAGTAGCAAACACATTACTTTACATGCTTCATGAATCTGTATATACAGCATGTATAGCTCTGGGCTCAGAAAGTTTTCAAAATGGAATTATATCCTACATTTTTTAAAGGAAAAATTAAGGTGTAGGTTATATAGGTGGTTGTTAAATGCAGAGCTTCTCTATAAACAAAAAGGTGAAAAAACACCTGCTTTTTTAGTTCGGAAAGAGATCAAACCTCAGGCAGGTAAGGAAAAATAATGCAAGAGTAACTCAAACGTAATATTATAATGCATTACTTTCCATAAAAAGTAACAAAGTAACACAAATAGTTACTTTTTTTGGGGAGTAACTGAAAATTGTAATGCACTACTGATTGTAACATACAGTAACTGCAAATACATTAGAATTTTATAATAATAATATGCACAGTTATAGCTAGATTTTCTTTAAACAATTTTTTTCAATGATTTTTACACACACACACACACACACACACACACACACACACACACACACACACACACACACACACACACACACACACACACACACACACACACACACACACACACACACACACATAATGCTATTATTGTGAGCTTTCTTATACTGAAAGAATGCATTTGAATGTACATTGAAAATATTTTATAATGCTAATGTTTTTCTGTCTTTCTAATCAAACAAACAGCCTTGGTGAACAGAATTGCTTCTTTCAAATGCATTGCAAAATCCCCAGTTAAATTTCACTGGAATGTGTCAATACACATACACATTTTTTTAATAAAAAATAATAACAGTAGTCTTGAAAACAATCGTGAGTCTCTTGTACAGTCAGAAAACCTTCTCCGGTAGGCTGAGTGTGTTAAACAGATTGAGAGCAATAAAGCCTTGCTTCAGGATCATCATTTGCACAACAGCACAGCCGTGCCAGTGACTCAGAGCAGGACTCGTGCTGCGTGCAGGACAGCACAGATCAGCTGATGTCACTGAACAGATGGACGGAGCGATCTGGTCAGTCCACTTATCTTGCTGGAGCAGGCCAGCAGCAGGTGCGTGAAGGCCTTAACCATCAGGCAGAGAGACATACGCATGATTTTACTCCAGATCAGGCATTTCATGGTACCTGTGGGCTGACATGAACGTGACCCCAGTGTAGAAAACATGCTGCATGTCTGCTGTCTGTCATTAGAGGCAAACATTGATTCTGACTGACATTACAGATCTCTGGGTTGAGAATCCTGATGATTTATTTATTTATTTATTTTTTATTTAATTTATTCATATTTTTTATTTAATTTAATTTTACTTTGATTTATTTTTTTTATGTTATTTTATTTAATGTATTATTTTTTTTCTATGTTATTTTATTCAATGTTTTATTTTATTATTTTTTATTTATTTATTTGAATGTATTTTATTCATGTGTAAACTAAATTATATTTTGTTTTTCTGCATTATATTATATTATATTATATTAATTACATTTAGTGCAAAATTAAAAATATGTGAAATTATGTTTAGTATTTTAATTTATTAAAAATATAGACTTTTTATTTATTAAAAAAATTCTATATTGCACAGTAATTGTCTCATTCAAAAAAACTCACCAAGTTTTTGCTCATTAATATTTCGCTGATGCAGCCTACTCTTTCTCTCATGTTTGAAAAACTGCAGACACCTAGCAACATCCTAACACTGCATCCACAGCGCAGCGTTTTTCTTCACCGTGATCCTAATGTTCATCACTGTGTTAATGAGAATAAAACTAAATGTATAACTAAAGAAGAGCAACTGCAGTCAGAAAGATGACACCGCTCATGAAGTGTAAGAGGAGAAACAAGACTCAAAGTGCTTGTAGATCCTAAAGAAGCAGCATTTGATGAGACAGAGAGCGTGTTCTCATTAGTGAGCTTCTCAAAGCTGGGGTTTGTGCATTATTAGAGGTCTAACGATGAGCCTGTAACGTTGAGGCCTTTAATTAGTGACGCTCCTGTAGGCAGTGCTGTATGTCTGGAGGAAGACGATTAAGCTTGAAAATAGCAGTGTCCGGTCGGTTTGGATAAAGTTCAGCGGCGGCTTGTTGAGTGTCAAAGGTCGACATGCCAGATTGAGTGTCTTTTAGCTCAGCTGGAGCATAACAAAATGAAAAACAGACTTCCAGTTAACTTGCGCTGAGTAATAAATGGAATTGTGATCAGGAGGAGACGTGCATATTCAGTATCGCTGGCTAAAGAGCTTTTAATTAACTGAGCTGAATTGAGTTTGGAAGATTGGAATGGATGAGGTTTTCTGGTTGATGGGAGTCCAGTAGACCGATGCCGAGGCCACTGAAATCAGCTCAAGAGAAACAAACTGAATTCAGGGAGAATTAATGAACTGGCTGAAAGTTTTAGCAGGGATAGGGATTTAATTATTGCTGTTGTTGAAGTATTTATTAATTTAATCAACTTTTGGTTTATTGAGTCAGCTTTAATTGTTTTTATGTTTCCATTCATTTCTTTTTTTTTTTTTATATATATAAATTTATTTCTAAGTTTGGCTGGTTGAAGATCTTTTTTAAATTGTAGTTTTGTTAAAAAGCTCAAAAGTTCAACAATAAGGATCGGCCAATGAGGGATAAGCATAAGAGATGGCAATATTAACTGGATTCGCATCAACAAAAGAAAGCAGGTGGATCCCGGACGAGAGGATGATTACGTGCATGGTTACACACAGGCTATCCTGAAGCATCGATCAGTGCTTCAGTGTCAAGGCTGATTTCAGGTTATGTGATGCGGGTGAATGTTTAAAATTTTCAAAAAGAAACAGTTCCTTGCGTGAAGCAATCATGCCTGGACAGTAGCTGGTGCAGTTAGTTCTCTTTTAAGTAAGCTGGACAAAAAGCAATGCTCATGCACCCACAGCTCTGCTGCTTTCAAGAGCTCCATATTTTTTAAAGGTCTTTTTGTAAGCAGTAGGTTGCTTTCACTTTAACCTTTTACGTAATCATCCTTTTAATATTGCACACAGTATGTTTTTCACCTGCTTTCTTTTGCTTAGTTATTTGGGGCTAAGAATTGATATTATTGCTATTTTTTGGTGTGGTTACAGAAATATTTGGTAAATCCTTAGTGTTGAGCCCTGAAAAATCATGTGAAATAAAAAGTTATTGAAATGCGACACTGAAGCCACAATCTATTTGCTCATGCTCATTGAGCAAGGTCATACACAACGCAAAAAAATGAAATACACGAGGAGGCATATATATCTTTATTTATTTTGTTTAACATTATAAATTAAAACATTTTTAAGAGCAAAATAATAATAAATAAATAAGACTAATCCGTAAAAATGAATAGGAACAGTGTACTTTTACAGTTTTCAGTTATTAGATTTAATTTTCTATTTTTTGTTTTCATGAATTATTATTTTTTATTATTTCTTTCTATTTTGGTCATGTGCCTTTGCCATTTTCATTAGTTTTTAGTTCTACAAGATTTTTAAAATAATCTTTGCTTAGCATTAGATTATTTTCCCTTTTAGTGATTTTGTGTTTAATCATTTTGAATACCGTATGTTTGATTGGCCAAATTTTATTTAAGGGTTTGATCATTTTTAGTACTTTAGTTATGTTAAGCCCCATTTACCCTGTCAGTGACAAAACAGCATACCCATTCATTTCAGTGTAGAGTTAGCGATCTCCAGTTACTGTACACAAGTAACAAGTACAAAGAGATGCTACAAAGTTGAGAATTCTTTAACTTTAGGCAAATGAAGACTGGCTTGCCCAAGCGACAGCCAATACAAGCATCAGTAGAGTTTACGTTATCCGCTCTCTGCTCCTGCAGCCGGTTGTATTCTTCGTGCTGTAGACTTACACAGACCCGCATTTGCCGCAGGATACACCAAATTAAATGATTTAAAGATGATTCCTTGGATTTACAATATTTTTTAATTTAAGTTTTAAATTCGACCCATATAAATTGTTTGCAACAATTCTGTAGAAATATTTTTTTCAGTGTAAATAGCTGAAATGACAGAACAGGTTTTGTTCTTATTCATATTTGTAATTAAAAGTTTTATGGATTGATTCCATTTATGTTTTATCTTTTCCTTCCACAATGTTTATATCAAAAGCAAGAAAACTCATTTGCAGTCAGTAAATCTCATTAATTAATGTGACATAAGCCATCTCAAGGTGGGAAGGCCACTTCTAGAGACTCCACTTACTGCCCAGGGTGAAAAGCAGCTGCAAGTTGCTGGAAGTGTTTAATTTAATAGCAACTTTTCAAATTTACTTGTAATTATAGCCTTTTTGTCTAATAATATTTTAGTTTATTTTAATTTTATTTAAATTAAAGATTTAGTTGGGGGTTTAGTTAGCAATAGCAACACAACTTGCTGAAATTTTAATTTACCACTAGCTTCCAGTTTCTGCAATAAAAGCAAGTCTGATTATTGGCCTTTTATCTCCACTGTTTTAATTACTTAATAGATTATGATGCACTAAGGCTGCACGATATTGGAAAATCTGATATTGGAATACTGTGATTAAATGTTGCCATATGAATAGAGTTTTACAAGATGGTTTGAATATCTCTAATTGATGATTTTCTGGGGAGTCTTAACAGTTCTTACTTTGCAGAGTTCTTACTTCTTCATAGTTCTCAGCAAAGTTCTTACTTTGCTTTGTCTCGTTTCTGGTCACAAGTATCTAATAATTCTTAGATCGAGTAAAAATATTGTTTTGTTTTTAACATCAGAAGAAATTAGTCAGAATTATTTTCCCTTCAAAAGAAGTTTTAATGAAAACAAGCAAATTTAACTGCTAATGGGTTAAGTAAAATAATCTTGTTTTCGCTTTGAAATTAAGGTGAAATTAAGATATTTGGACTAGAAACAAGATTAAATTATTTTTTTTGCATAAATCGTTTGAATTCTTTATGAATATTTAAACACAATTAATATTTGTTACACCTTCAAACTTTGATGCTGCTACGATACATTGTGCAGCCCTAATGTACTTTCTAATTATTTGTTTGAAAAAAGATTGAAATCTCATACTTGTTCCACATGCAGTGGTGTTTAGCAAATCTGACAGACTACAAATGATTGAAGTGGTTTATACCCCAGTTTGGATTCAGTTCCAGATTTGATGCATTTTTCATTGTAAATGTGATCCTGATCTTCATGTAAATTAGATTTTGCGGTGTTCAGGTTTGTAATGATTCTCAATAGCACTCGTCTGTTTACTTCTTCATAATTTATGGTGACTATTAAATGACCTGCACATTGGTGTTACTTCATGATTTGTGATTTGCTGCAGCAGAAAAGATGTTTTTAGCTCTTTTAGTTTTCAAAGTTTCAAACGTGTGCATGTGCCATGGATTGCTGACTTGTCTGTGATAACAGATGGTTTATAGGCAGACGGATTTACATTTCTCTGCTTTTTTTTCCTCTACAGCTGGCTATAACAATCTGGAGGTAGCGGAGTATTTACTTGAGCATGGAGCAGACGTTAACGCACAGGACAAAGGTGGCCTTATTCCCCTCCACAACGCAGCCTCGTACGGGGTGAGTGCAATTGCTGATTAAAAAGAGGAGTATTTCAGTGCGATTACGAATTCATAGAGACATCTGTTAAGGAGACACGTGTCATGCCTCCAGTGTTGTGTCAGGTCTCTGAAAACCGTGCTCTGGTGCTGCAGATACAAACAAACAGATGTAGATGCTGAATAATCCATGTATTTTTTATCAAGACTAAACAAATGCAAACCTTTACCTGATCCCATATGTGCTTTGATGCAGCATTTTCTGCTACTGTTGAAATCAATGTGTGGCCGTATGCAAAAAGTGTTTGGACATCTGTGTTTGGTCTGCCCACAGAAGCTTGGCTTCTGCACTTTTAATGCATCGCTGCGGCTCATGATTATTTTAGATGGTTTCAGTTGCATTTCCACACCAGAAGCAGAGAGCACCATTTGTGAGCAGACAAGACTTAAAAGAGGGTGGTTTAATGCTATTTCATGCGTTCAGAGTAACATATACAATGTTAAAGAGTTGGACCCTCATGCTCAAGCATTGCGTCAAGCTTCAAAAATGATTTTGGCCTAACACAGACTTTTTTTTTTTTTCCAAAAATTGTACTTTCTGGTAGTAAGTAGTTTAAAAAAAATTTATTTATTTAATTTTTGAGTCTGACTTTGGGATATGGAGGAGGGAGGAACTTCTTTTATGAGTGCTTTTCTCTGAAAATGTAACCATTTAAAGGTGCACTCACACTAGAGTTGTCACGATACTGGAATTCGAGACCAATCGTCCATTTCCCAGTATGCATGTAATGGATATTTTTTAAATTTCAGTATTGATTATTATAGAATTCCAGTATTCTGACAACTCTAAATCACACTATATCTGAACCTTGCCCAGTCGCGTTTCCCAATTTGTTTGACAAGTGTGAGTGCTCCAAATTGGGCCCAGGCGCTGTTCAGTTGGCTGGCCCTGGCTCGGTTGAAAAAGATGTGCCAGAGAGTGGTTCGGTTGGGCTTTGGCATGGTACGCTTGTAGTGTAAGTGCAAAGTGCACCTAAGCCCGAAACTCAAGATGCGACGTCACTTTTAAGAGACTGGTTTATATGGATTTATTAATCATTCTTACTTTTCAATGAACGCAAACTGACATAGTTTATTTAAGACACAACCCCCTCGCTGCACATCAGCTACACCTTCAGCAAACCTCCTAATACGTGCGGCACAATGATTTTTATGACAACTTATGAGTGTCAAGAGTTGTGGATCTGTTTGGCAAAATATTTGACTGCGTGTCGCTGCTTCTTAAACGATTAAAGCAATATAACTAAAGAAATCTCCCCTGTGCTGAGCGAGAGCGATTCTCTTCCTGCTAAACTGAACAGTCACATCATTGATGATGCAAGCGTGCTCAGGGTCGGAAGGTAAAGAATACAGTGTAAGTGCAGGCCGTCGGGGGAGAGGGGAGGGGGGGACAACCATGCTTCGGCATTGTTCAAGTAAACCATGCCTAGTCAGAGTACACCCTGACATGCAAGTTTTAAATACTTCAGCTGTTCAACTTATGATTTATTTAAAAAAGATCACTTTATATTTCCACAACTGCAGTCTGGATTATGACATGAGATGCTGCAACCCCATGCACTTCAATGGAGATTAAAGCTGCTGGTTGTACATGTCAATTCATCCGCTTCTGTCAAATTACATGAAAGTGGCTGTTTAACCAGATAGATGACAAGTAAATTCTCTCTATTAGAAATTGTAAAAAATATTCAGAGACAGTCTTTTGTCTTAAAAGTATTGAAAAACGGAAGAATTTTCCGAAGATAATATAAAAGATGGATGCAGTACTTCTCTATAGGTTCTAAAGATGAATATGAATTTGTAATTTGTAATAAACATGATGCATCCCCTTTTAGTTCAACTGAAAATGTCATCATTTACTCAAGTTCATGTCATACCAGTCATGTTATAAGTTAAATTGGCTGAATATCAGACTTTTCTAAGTCATTATAATTTCTAATAAAAAATTATATAAATATATATGTGTGTGTATATATATATATATATATATATATATATATATATATATATATATATATATATATATATATATATATATATATATATATATGTGTGTGTGTGTGTGTGTGTGTGTGTGTATGTATGTGTGTGTGTGTGTGTGTATGTAAATGTATGTAGGTTTAATGTATGTAGGTTTAATGGATGGATATAAATCTCTCACCTTTAATTTGAACTATTGTCATTTGCCTTCCAAAAATGATTTAATTTCTTCTGGGTTTGAAATGACACACTGATTAAGGTTAAGTAAAAAAAAGCAGAGCTATAATTCAAAGGTGAACTGACCCTTTAATCCCACTCAGCACAGAACAATTCTAATACGGGATTTTACTCTTTCTGGAAATCATATTCAGGGAAAACCCATATCAGGTGATGCTGGCTGGGGGTATTTATCAGCATCTGCCCTCTGGAGGTCTATGGGGATGTGATTAGAGCATGCAGATGGAAGGGAGCAGATTGCAGTTACATAAACATGCTGGATCAGAACTAGCCAGACTCTTCACTGCACTCCCATACGCTCTGTTGCCATCCAAGAAACAGGACCTCTGTGACTGCAGTTGTGAGATTCTCATTGGCTGGGAGTGTAGTGGCAGGTTGCCTGGGCCTTGCTGATTGGCTGGAGGAGAGCTGGCGGCCGGCCGATGCTGGCTGACCTTGAGTGCGCCTCCCTCTGTTCATATACGGCCTGTTTGTGTAGAGACTGAGAGTGTTCGACAAACACCGCCAGCTGATCACAGTTTCATACAGTCACCACTGCTGCTGATAGGAGGCCGGTTCAGGACAGCTCAGACACACACTGCGCATCACTACTCACAGTTGGCCAAATATCAAGTTTGTTTTGTCCTGCAAACTCCATTGGAAGTTAGAACAGTTCTCATATGGCATTTAAAGGGATAGTCTAGCCAAAACTGCAAAAGATGCAACTTGGTTATTCTCATTGTGTCACCCTTAGTGTTGTTATTGTTACACTCTAAAAAACGTTGGGTTAGTTATTTAACGCAATGGTTGAGTTAAAAATATTTGGCGTTTTGTTGGGTTATTTTAAACCTTTATTGGGTTATTTTTAAATAACTCAACCAATTGGGTTAAAAAATTTTAATACAAGTGATACATGTATTTGAAACATTTGGTCGTCATTCTCGCCTTTAAGACCCAGCGGAGACATCAACCCAATAATAATAATAATAATAATAATAATAATAATAATAATAATTTATTATTATATAGCCACTTTTTGGCTATATAATCCAACAAATAAATAAGTTTTGTAATCCATATTTTTGGGTTAACCTTAACAACTGGTTAATGGATTGGGTTAAAATATCCCAACAGCAGGTTGGTGCCAAAACGACCCATCAACGACCTGTTGGGTTATTATTAACCCAACTGTTTTAAGTGAGTATATAAAGGTAATTAAATATATAAATTAATTTTAAATAAAAATGAAAGAGCTATAAAAATAGGTGAAACATCAGTCAAAATATTCATATTATCTTAAACAAATAAGAGAATTAACTTGATTGTTGTATTGTATGTGTATTTTTTATTAAATATGGTTATCGTCAGTACATTATACTGCATATTTATAGTGATATTTTTGATATATATAACTATTATCATCAATACTATTGCAACACCACTATAAATAAATAAAACTACAAGTGAATGAATGCATGCATGAATGAATCAAATGGCAAAACATTTAATCTGTTTGATTAAGCCATTTTAAAATAATAACTAATTTATATTATTCATCCAAAATACAACCATAACAAAATATGAAGAGTTCAGGTCCAAAAGCCGCTAAACACCTCCTTCGCCAAAAATGAGCTAATGACATTGATAGAATACTTTAGGCACGTAGTACATATTCAATAAATATTCTTGCTTCAAATCATCTAAATCCCAGCTTCAGCGCATTCAGAAATAACAGTTTGTATGCAAAAGCCTCTAAACGCCACTTGCCTTTGGCAGCAGAAGCCGATATGTCCCGAAAACCAATCAGAAAGCGTGAATTGAATCGTATGTTTTCAATGTGATGGTGCGCTGATACAGTGCCTTTTATGAGGAGACTGTTTTATTCCACTTTCGATTCAGATTTTCAAATATGTAATTTGATGAACTGCATGAGCCTGTCTGACTGTCAGTGAATGGCAAATGAAAACGTCCCTTACCTCAAAACTCTGCATTATAAGAAAAAGAAAACACTGTACAGTCAGAAGAGTAGCATGCATTCATAACGTTTTTTTTTTTGCGCAGCAACACTACTTGGAATGAGTCCAATATACCATACATTAAACAACAACTGCATTTCTTGAAAGATGAAGTTTAGATGCTGTTCCTTTATCCTGCATGGATGCTATGAGGATAAATATTAGATGAAAAAAGAGTGACAGCTTTTAAAAGTGTCTGAGAGACATCTCTTTTTTGCACAGTAGGCCTACCTTGTGTTTTAATTACTTATGTGAGCTATGTTTTAAAAGATAAATATAATGTATTAAACTATACATAATTTATATTACTTCAATAAATTATATAATTTTTATTTATTAATGGACAATGCACAGATATTGATGTTTCACAATGTTTTTACACTTCATTTTTTTATCTATCAAGCTTAGTTTACATTGCTCTACTTACATTAAATCTAAATCCCAAATATCAGAAATGACAACAGATTAAGATTTAATTAATGTCAAGATTTAATCATTTTATTGATTAATACACGCACTTGACAGATTTCATTAAATCATTTTACTTCTGCTTAGTCTCTGGTTTATCAGCGGTTACCACAGTGGAATGAGCCGCCACTTACTTGACAGATTTATGTATTTTTAATTTTAGTTGGTTTGTGTAATGTGTTTTATGTTTGGTCAAATAATTTCTAATTGTATCTTTAGTTGATTTTTTAACTGATTATAATGTCTTGGCTCAATAGCTGGATTTAGAGGTATTTGTAAAAAAAAAAAAAAAAAAAAGCACAAGTGGATTTAGCTGGTTTTGACGCAAAAAAGTCTACCTTGTTAAAAACCAAAGAATTGTCTAAAGTGACGTTTTTGAAAAATGTATATTTTATTTTACAGTTAATAACTTTTTCATTATCTATCAAATTAAACTTCTTAGCCTAATTATAGGGGCCTGATAGAAAATGTTAATTTACAAAAATAGAGGTCTGATGGATTTAGAGGGCTTTGCATCTGAACTCTACATATATTTTTAATCGTACAAAAGAAAAAAAAAAAGAAAAAAAGAAATCTCAGTTTCAAGTGTAATTTTACATTATTTTGAATATGTTTTGAACTTGAGAAATGCAGCAGAACCATTCTTTTTGTCATTATCAAGTCTACTCAGAATCTGCGCCCACAGAAATATGTGGATTTCTGCAGATTTTTGGAGTCTATCAATATATTTATTTACTTGTGTAAATGTGTGTATATTTCATTTTTATAATAATTATTAATATTATTATTATCAATCAATTCATCTTATTATTAATATTATGCAATAGTATGCAAATGTTTTTATTATTTATGCACAATAGAATTTTACTTTAATGTGGGTGTATTATATGACAAAGGTAATGTAGCTTTTTTTTTACTAAAAAAGTGGTTAATGGATTTCCTTAATAAACCCTAATAAGGTTTATTAACCTCAATAAAAATTGGGGTTACACTTTTTTTTGATTGACCGTTTGTTGAATTTAAGTTACATTGCAATGCCAACTAATTCTTATTAGATTATAAGTAGACTGTTAGTTTGTGGTTAGGGTTAGTATAAGTTGACATGTACTTGCAAAGTTTCTTATAGTAAGTTAAATGTCTGTTGAATTGTCAGTATCAGCAGATATTAAGCAGACAGTCTAATAATACTCAAATGGACAATCAAAATAAAGAGTTACCAAAATTGGAAATTGGGAAATAATAAAGCAAAAAAATTTCAGCCTCTATATTCTCAAAATCATTCCACATAAATCTGCAGATTTTATTTACAAAATTGTACACTGAAGCAGCAAAAATAAATCATCATTTAGTCATCATAGTCCTTTACTCTCCCTCGGGTTGTTTTAAATTTGTTTCTGTTGTATGGAAGTCAAGATGTGCAGAAGTTATTTCAGGTGAATCATCCCTTTAAAGATTGCAAGAGTTTTCCTAATTAGCCTGTGTCTTCTCTTTCAGCATGTGGATATCGCAGCCCTGTTGATCAAGTATAACACCTGTGTAAATGCCACTGATAAATGGGCCTTCACACCCCTTCATGAGGCTGCACAAAAGGGCCGCACACAACTCTGTGCTCTGCTGCTGGCCCACGGGGCTGACCCCACCATGAAGAACCAGGAGGGCCAGACACCACTTGACTTGGCCACGGTAATGCACAGACTCCTCACACACAGTTTCACTAATGCATACACAGCAGAGCGGCAGAATGCTAGATTCTGATTGGCTGATGAACAATCAAAACTGTGAAATATATTTTTTTGATCAACGCTGAGCTATAGTAGTTCCAGGCATCATCTTTGACTTCATTACGCTGCGTGTCCACCCAAGCATTTTTTCAAGCTGAGCGTTTGTTGTCAATGGTGGTGCCGCATTTTTTGCATGGCCGTTTTATGGTCTGCACTAAGCACAAAAATGCTGCACCATACAATTACATTGAAAGACAAGGCCGGACTATACTTTGTAACTGTAAATATATGATCAGACTTTTAACTTGTAACGGTACAGGAGGGATACTTTGCCTCATAGCAACTGACTGAAAAAAGTGCTGCACTGCAAAGTGCTCACAGCTGAGCATTTTAAGAACAGTACTCGTGTTTCTGCTACACAAAAACACTTTAGTTGACACGCAGCCTTACATGTCTATAAAACTATACCAACTTATTATTATTATTTGTTTTTCAAATAATTTTACAGCCTACAAATACCAAACAACAAATCAAAACAGATGACAAATGTATTGAACAGTGGGTTTAATTCAGTAATAATTGTGTACATTTTACATGTTTATATGTTCAGTAGAACTTGCATGAAAACTTTCCACCTAATTCATAAGACGTGTGTACGCACATAAACTTGTTCATAAACTCATTGTTCTGTTAGTGAATTCAAAGTCTTTTAAATGAGCCTACCTGTCTTGGATCCCTAATTAAACTGTATTATCAGTTTTTAATGTCAAGTTATTTTTCACCCACCCTGCACTTACAAAAAAGAATAGCGCTTGCAGTTTGTTTGAACTACTTATTTAAAATAAGCTAAAACAACACATTTATTGTGGAGTCTTTTTGTGACAAGTTAATTGGTTTATGTCCAATCTACTTAAATTTTTAAAAACAATTATGTTAACTTAATTCCTTCATGTTGTCCCAACACAGATCAATTGTGTGGAACTCAACATTTTTTACAGTGTGTACAATTCAAGAAAATTGTATTAGTTTGTTTTAGGGTAGGGTCCTTTATACATCTTTATAAGCCCCCGGGGGTAAATGATTGTTGCATACATGTGGAGTAAGATTTCTTGAATTGTTTTCATACATTTTAAATTAATTTTCGTACAAAAGTTTTTGATGAATCATGATTTATCTTGAAAATGACCGTATGCACATTTCACTCAAAATCATAGGCTTGTTTAGTGAATGAATCCCAGTCACTTTTGTCTGATGACTCTAGTATAAGTGGAATAATTGACACTGGTCCATTGAGTTTTTAAAAATGAATCAACACTCTGCTTCATGTTTTGGCTGGATCACCACCTCAGGTGTACATTATTTTTAATAATTCAAAAACCTGTCATCAGTAGGCCCATATGGAATCTGCGCGCGCAGAACTCTGAACTCTGAATTCCGCGGATTTTTGCAGATTTCTGCAGATTTTTAGCCCTTCATTAATTCTGTTTATTTACTTGAGTAAATGTGTAAATCTGAATTTATTCAGTTTTTATTCTGTAATTTATTACTATTTATTTCATATATTAAGGTTTTAGTTATGACACTCCGCTGGATACTCCCAAAATAATTCCGCAGAAATCCGCAGATTTTTACCAAAATTCTCTGCAGAAATAGCAAAAAACGTCCGCAGATTCCGTCTGGCCCTAGTCATCAGTTAATATGTACAGTTGAAGTCAGAGTTTTTAGCCCCCTTAATTAGCCCCTGTATATTTTTCCGCAATGTCTGTTTTAAACTTAATAGTTTTAATAACTAATTTCTAATAACTGATATACCATGATGATAGCACATAATATTTTAGTAGATATTTTTCAAGCTACTAGTATTCAGCTTAAAGTGCAATTTAAATACCTTAATAGGGTTATTAGGCTGGGTAGGGTAATTAAGCAAGTCATTTTTTAATGGTGGTTTGTTCTGTAAAAGTAAGGTAAGAATATTGAGCTTAAAATGGTTTTAAAAAAATTAAAAACTGCTTTTATTCTAGCCATAATTAAAACAAATAAGACTTTCTCCTGAAGAAAAAATATTATAGGAAATACTGTGAAAAAGGCTCTGTTAAACATCATTTGGGAAATATGTTAAAAAAAAAAACAAATTACATTAGGGCTAATAATTTCGACTTCAACTGTCCATAAAAACATCAGCGTTTGTTTAAACTATCTGCAAAATCTCCAAGTTATTCAGTCTTATACAAAAGTTTGATGCTTTGCAAGACTATTTGTTCCTGTTGTAAGGTCTCATATGGTTCAGGTGGCCGAGACTGTCCAGAGAAATTGGGACATTTATCTTCTAAACACATAAGCTGAGGCGTTTAAATCCTTGTCCCGTGTGTTGGTGCTTGTGTGAAGCAATGGTAAATCTGCCGTAACCTTTAGTAATTGGGCTCCTGTGGCCGCGCTCATGCCAGGTGCTAATGACATAGCTGTTCTCAGCTTTTATTGTCCTTTTCTAGAAGCCATTCTAGCGCTGTGTTCAACTTACCAGCTAATTTAACCAATCGCTTATGTAACATGAATAATATTTGCAACTGATCATACTGATCATGGATTTCTGATAGAAGGTGGTGTTGATTTGCTGTGATCTCCAGGCGGATGATATCCGGGCGCTGTTGATTGATGCGATGCCCCCTGAAGCGCTGCCTAGTTGTTTCAAGCCCCAGGCGACGGTGGTCAGCGCCTCTGTCATCTCACCGGGATCTACGCCTTCATGCCTGTCTGCCGCCAGCAGCATAGACAATCTGGCCGGCCCTCTGACTGAGCTGGCCGTTTCTGGAGCCTCAGGCCCTGCTGATGGGGCCACAGGAACTGAGAGGAAGGAGGGAGAAAGTGAGTTGAAGAATTTGAACATTTAAGAATTTGGTATCCCTTTGCAATAGTGTGTCATTTGAAAACATTAATGACAACAATGTTTGTTTATAAAGTTATTTCTAAGAAATTTTGTTTTATAAAAATTTTTTTGTTTTTATTTTATCTGTTTTATGTATTTTTTGTGCAGTTTAGATTGTAGAATACAAAGGACAAACTTAATTTATTTTGATTCAATTGTGTTTTTCCCCCTCTTTTTAATTTGCATATTGTTTGGAAGGTTTTTAATAGTTTACAAAAACTACAAACATTATTTTTTTATTTTAAATATGTTTAAAACTATTTACAAAAAAATGACAATTTAATTAAAATACTTTAAAAAATCTACAATATAAATATAATTCCAAAAAGATATATTTATTTTAAAAGCTAAAATACAATAAAAATATAACAAATAAAACTAATGAACATTCAAAAAACACAACAAAAGAATTTAAACTTTAAATAAAAATTCAAATAGGACAACTAAAAACCATGTAAATAAATACAACTAAATTAAATTATTTTTAAAATTACAATTATTAAAATGATTTTGTTATTTTTTAAGTATAATAAAATAATTATTAAAAATACAATTTAATAAATAAAAATTATAGAATATAAATGTAAACTCAATTATGGAAATATATTTTAAAAGCTAAAACGGAATACAAAATATAATAAACAAAAAATTAATGACCATTGAAAAAACACAACAAAAGAACAAAAATTTTAAATAAAAATCTAAACACCATTTAATTTAATACAACTGAATTAAATTTAAAACTACAATCAGTTATTCAGTTATTTATTATTCAGTTATTTAAAATTATGTATCAAAAATTTCTCATAAAAATGACAATTTAATTTAGATATTAATTAAATTAATGTAGGTCCAAATATAGAAATATATGTTAAAAGCTAAAATGCAATAAAAATATAATAAATACAACTGATGAACACTGCAAAAACACAACTAAAGAATTAAAACTTTAAATAAAAATGGAAATATAAATCTAAAACCATTATCATACAAAATAATACAAAAAAATTAATTAAAATGATTTTTTTAAAAATTATAATTTATTTAAAATATAAACAATTATATAATATAAATGTTATTCCAAATATAGAAATATATTTTAAAAGCTGAAATGCAATAAAAATTTTAGAAATATAACTAATGAACATTGCACAAACACAACAAAAGAACTAAAACCTATTTAAATCTATAAGAACTTAAACTTATCTAAATCTTATCTTATCTCAATCTTATTTTATCTTTTTAAAGACAAGTCTAAAAACAATTTAAATAAATTAACTAAATAGATTATTTCACATTAAAAACTACAACAGTTACAGCTGTTTTATCCTATAAATCTCAGAAAAAAAATTGTCAGTAGATTTAGACTTAAATGCAGGTTAATTATAATTGTTATATTTTTCTTTCTCTCCAGTTACAATTCTGGATATGAACATCAGCCAGTTCCTGAAGAGCTTGGGCTTGGAGCATTTGCGGGATATTTTTGAGCGGGAACAGGTAAGGTCACGTCCGCGGATCAAATCAATTTCACTCATCTCAATCTCATCAGCTCCACTCCACACATTAAATTGCCAGCTGTCCCGCCGTTGTTTCCTGAACAGAACTCCAGGTCCTTCTCGTCAGAGTTATGTAAATGCGATGACATCTGCAGCCTCCTAATTATCTCCTTTCAATATACTCTCTCTCTCTTCATCATTTCTACCCGACTCCTCCTCTGCTGGATACTGAGAGATTACTAGCGTCTCTCAATCTTTATAGGTGTGAGAGAGAGATCCTGGGTGATGGACTGACCTCTGCGCCCCCTTCTTTTGATTAATACAGTCATGCTGCTCCTTCACACTGAGCTCAGGACCCTGTTGCTCCTCTATAGCATTTCTTCTCAGCTTCTTTCTTGCTCTTCTTTAGCTGCGGCAAAGATGCTAAAAACCTGTTGGGAAATTGCATTAGAATGGCAGGGAAATTGACACATTATCTATATTGGGATGCTAATTCAAGTAAAATTTTATGCATATTTTAATGCAAGTAAATTGCAAATTGCAAATTTTAATGCAAGTAAAATTTAATTTAATACAGTATGTTGGGCAGGGCTTCATTTTGGATCTAGAATACAATTGAAGTCAAAATATTTTTTTCAAATATTCCCTAAATGATGTTTAAGAGAGCAAGGACATTTTCACAGTATTTCCTATAATATTTTTATAATATTAATTTGTTTTATTTTGGCCAGAATAAAAGCAGTTTTTAATAAAAAAAAAAATAAATCTTTAGGTCGATATTATTAGCCCCTTAAGCAATATATATATTTTTAATTGTGTACAGCTGTGGTCCCCAACCTTTTTATCACTGCAGACCTGTCAACGCTTGACAATTTTACTGTGGCTTGTGGGGGTGGGTGTTCATAGATTACTAAATGACCATCAACTATTTTGATGTGTTTGGGTTTTCTGTGTTTGTCTGAGGTAATTAGTCTACCAGAATGTGTATATTCCATGTAGTATGAATCTGATCGGTCAGTTCTTGTCATGTGACATGTGGTGCTCTTGTGGCGTTCTGAAAAGTTGAGATGTTATTACACCTATTGCATACGACACTCCCAAAATGCGAATGCAAGCCGCATTCTTCCATTGGAATTAACGAACTTACATCATGAAATTAACTGAATTTACATTATGATTAAAGTTATTGCACATCTGACGGTTCCTGCCTCTGAATTAGCAAGTTTTAGCTACAGTACTTGTAGTGTTCAGAAAAAATACAAAACACTCACGAAGAAACTCGACAGAGAGGAACATAAAAACCTACTGCCTGCTAGTGTTTCAGAAGTGTTATTGCAGAGGAACACAAACCACATGAAGTATAAATCCACGACTATGTGCAAGGTAGGCGCTGTGGTTCGATCACTTAACGCAGAAGTAATCAGCCTTAAGGCCACTTTTATTTGCGATCTCCAGCTGTTGATCTTCTTGCACAGACATGCTGGATTCACCTGATTCATTGAAAAATGGGTTGCAAATTCATACCTTGGCTGTTTGTGGGTCCTTCTCTGGGTCTTTTCCCATTCACAAAGAAACTTTCCAAAGATGTCTGAATTATATATTTTTATTCTTATTTTAAAAATAGTTTTTGAACTTATCTTGACAAACTATATTTAATGTATGTCATTTTCATGTCTGAACTCAAAAAGTGTGGTGAAATTAAGAGGGGTTAAAAATTAAGAATGGTCTATTTGATTTCATGGGGACTAATGCACCAAATTTGATCATTGTCTCAAATTTTTTAATGTATTTATTTTCTGTTTCTTTTTTACAATTATATTAGATTGTATGATTGTTTAAATTAATTATTTATTAAAGTTAAATAAATAACAACAATTAAACAATAAATAAAATACACATTTAATTATTAATTCATTTGAAAGATTTCTCTTTAGCTTTCTGAAATAAATCAACTTAAAATCTTCAATCATACTTTTACAAACTGTAAATTCACAACAGACGTAAAGCTTTTCTTTGGTTAGTGGAGGAAACAAAGCAGCTGCCCTGGCTTTTAATATGCGTCAAGCAGAGATAATCTAAAAAGAAAATACCATCTAAACTTGTCTAAACAGAGGATTCTCCTAATAGAGCTTATAGAATCTCTTACCTCCTTCTGCAATTAAGGTTGTTTTAAATTCAACTATAATCCCCCGATAAGATAAAAATAACACATATGCAAGTATATTAAATAAAGCACATGCATTAAGAATAGATTTTTACTCTAGCATTAGATGAAATAAAGAAGATGGTTAACCCCAAATGAAATTTTATTTACTCACCCTTTACCTGTTTCATACCTTTGAGTTTCTTTATTTAAAAACACAAGAGAAGATATTTTTTTTAAATGTTGGAAACCTGTAAACACTGACTTCCATAGTATCTTTTTTTCTACCATGTAAGTCGCTGGTTACAGGTTTTTACCTTTCATCAAAATATCTTTTTTTTTTGTTTAACAGAAGAAAAAGTCGTAAATGTTTGGAGCCACATGAGGGTGGGTAAACCCCACACGTAATCTGCACGCAGAGAAATACGCAAATTTCCTCAGATTTTGAGCCTATCAATGAGTCTATTTATTTACTTGTGTAAATGTATGTAAATTTATATTAATTCAGTTTTTTAATTAATTTCAGTATTATTATTGAAATTATTACTACTTAATTTCAGTAGTATTATTATTTATGATTTATTTACAATACAGTTTGTAAAGTAATATTTTCTCTCTTGTAGTAGATATATGAGAGACTTGCTTTGTTTACCAAATAAGTGGTTCTAATTGGATTTGCATTGTAAACATTAAATAAAAGTTTAAAAATGTGTTATTATAAATTATTTCATATATTAAGTTTTTAGGTATGAAACTACCAAAATTATTCAGCATAAATCTGCAGATTTTTGTTTTTTACAAAATTCTTTGCAGAAATATTAACCGCAGATTCTGTATGGCCCCTATTCATGGGTGAACTATCGCTTAAACACACATCCTGCCTAAACGGTTATAATGAAACTCATTCATTCATTCATTTTCTTGTCGGCTTAGTCCCTTTATTAATCCGGGGTCGCCACAGCGGATAGAACCGCCAACTTTTTCAGCAAGTTTTTATGCAGCGGATGGCCTTCCAGCTGCAACCCATCTTTGGGATATTATAATGAAACTATCCAAACATAAAAAATACCATCTGTACAATCTTATTGTTTAATATTGAAAACATCATGGAATCATGAAAGTATGAAATGAACGGAGGTAAATATTTGTACAATATTTGCTTTCTAGTTTGCTGATTGTGAATTTGGAGCAACAGTTGTCCAGTTTTGATTTCTGATTGTTCAATTTGTTTCATCTCTACTTTAAATTCATTTTTTTAAAAGGTACCAGGTAGGGTTGCACCATATTGGAAAAATCTGACATTACAATTATTTTTTTTTCTGCAATGTAAATCTTATTTAACCAGATGAATTGAATAGCTCTATTTGGAAAGGTTTTATTAATTTAGATAGATTGGGATAATCAAATCTACTTCTATGCAGTGTGTTTGCATAAGTGCAAACTTAACATAATAAATTACAAGCATATATAAATACAACAGAGCACAACAAAAGTGAAATAGACAGTGCTTCATGGTTTTCTGGAGAGTCTAACAGTATTCAGGTACAGAAATCAAACATAAAAATAACATGATTATTATTGCATAAATGATTTCAAAATGATAACGTTTAATAATGCTTTTATTTTTTAATATTTAATAAATGATCTAATCCTGGAATGTGACTACTGCGGATACACACATTTCGATATCGATGCTCGAATGATATATTGTGCAGCCCTAGTACCAGAACACATTCAGGTGATTTTTTTTTTTCCTTCTATTTTTTAAAATCCCACCACAGTCTCTCAATCTTTATAGGTGAGACGAGAGATCATAGGTGATGGAGCTGACCTCTGCCTCCTTTTTCATTATTACAGCAGTGTCTCTCCTTCACATGGAGCTGAGTTGTTCCAGCTTTTCTTCCGCTCAGCTTTGACTTGAGTCTTGGGACCCGATTGGCACGCTGCGCCAGACCCGCCACTCATTTGCACATAGATGAACAGAAATGGTCTTTGGCGGCCACCAGCTGGGAAGAGCGCTTGATGTGAGGGGCTGAAATGGCTTGTGATTGTGGCTTTAGTAAGACGCATTCATCTGTCTCGCGGTGACTCACTCTTCTGCTCGCTCTCCATCTTATTCTGCTTCGCTGTGCCCACGGGAGATGGAGCATGAAGAGGCAACACTTTTTTTTTTGAGACGCGCTGAAAGACTGAGTGCAAATGAGATTGAGGACGCGCTCACAGATCTCATACACACAGCAGTGTCGTCATTAGATGCGTCTGGTTTAAGCCTCCCAGCAGTTTAGAGCTGTCTCCTCGCTTTGCTGGTGCCGTCAGGAGGACCGAATGGGAATATTTGTCTCTCTTAGGTGTCTGGTGCATGTCTGATGCATTTCCACTTTATTTTTTTAGTAGAGATGGGTAATTCAATTCATGTTTATTTCTATAGCGCTTTTACAATGTAGATTGTGTCAAAGCAGCTTAACATAGAAGTTCTATTCTAGAAAATGTGTCAGACCAGTTTTTAGAGTTGCAGTTCAGTTCAGTGTGGTTTAAATTTCACTGCTGAATGTCCAAACACCGAAGAGCAAATCCATCGATGCACTGCTCCACAAGTCCCAAACCAAACAACCCAATGGTGACAGTGGCTAGGAACAAACTTTACTAATTGACGAAAGTTAAGGAAAAAACCACAACCGTCTTCTTTGGCCTAACTTCTTTTGCAGAGCTGCAGACCAGGTGCCCGAGGCTGGAGAACACTGGACGTCCATCGTGGAGGGTTATGGTGGTTAATCAGGCCCAAAGTTATCTGTCATAAAGTTATCTGTAGCTCAAATGACGACATTCTGTATTTTGCCTTTCGCTTCTACTATGGCTCTGAACTGTTTAAACACCTCTCAAAGCGCTATTTCAGGTGCGAAAAACAGGAAAAGTCAAACCAGGTTTTAATTTTTTAATGGCGAATGAAAGTTTCAGAGGCAGTGTGTCAATATGATTGACAAACCGTGAGGTCACTTTATTTTTCTACTGAAAATTACCGATGAAAATTTTGATTCATTGTAAAATAACCTTAACCCTGACACATAATGCAGCTTTTATCAATATTTTAGAAGCCACATTTAAATATCACCAGTACTGAATTCATGAATTGTGCATTTACTATTAGGATAAAGCATTTGTGTTTATTATGGGCTAATTTTTGCTTTTTTCTTGGAAGATTTGACTACACAAATTTGTCAACGTGTACCTCATTCTCTGTGATTTCTTGCAATAAAAAGAAAAATAAATAAAAATAAAACAATAAAAAGAAAATGCAACACTTATAGCAGTTTAATTACATCTTTAACACCTAGTTGTTTAGTTAGGTTGTATAAAAATTTGGATTTGTCCATTTATTCTAAGCACTTAATATTTTTCTGCTAAATTAAAAGCTTGAGCTTTTTAATGTTCAACTGGTGGGTTGCTTTCATTCTGAATTTCATTATTTGATCTGAAAGTGAATGCAGAAGCATTGTTCCTCTGAGTCATTATCCTTAAACTGGAGACATGGATTTCACTGTTCTCACAGAATTAGAGCAATAGTTAAACTTTCCTCTTTTATGCTGGGCTTAATTAATCAACCAAATCGACTAGTCTGGTTTTAAAGATTTTCTCTTTAGTAAATCTGCTTTAGTTCCTATTGAGCTTTAAAACCAATAGAAAAGACCCTCATAAGAGTACAGAGAGAGAGAAAAAGAAAAGGAGAAATAAATGGAATCTTTCCTGCTGCTGCCATCACACCTTCACGGCCATAATGGTCGGCCCTGCGAGTCCTATCGATTGAAGTGCACTGTGCTTCCTGAAAAAGAGAGAGAGAGAGAAAGAGAGAGAGCAGTTGGCAGCTCCTGGGCTAATGGCCTTTGACAGACCTATCATAGATGTGATGCATTGCCAATAAGTGGGCCTTTGGAATTGGGAGTGTGAGAGTTTGAGATTACACAGGCTGATGCAGAGTCAACAGTGACTGTACGATTACACATTCTGTTCCTTTCACTTTCATTTATACCGAAGTAAGTTGTTTTTTTAAAGAAGTCTTCAAGGCGGCAATTATTTGTAAAAAATTGCAGGAAGATTGTGAAATATTGATACAGTTTAAAATTCATTCATTCATTTTCTTTTTGCCTTAGTCCCTTTATTAATCTTGGGTCCCCACAGCAGAATGAACCGCCAACTTATCCAGGATATGTTTTACGCAGTGGATGCCCTTCCAGCTGCAACCCACCACTGGGAAACACCCATACACTCATTTACACACATACACTACGGGCAATTTTTTTTAGCCTACCCAATTCACCTGTACTGCATGTCTTTGGACTTGTGGGGAAAACCGGGGCACCTGGAAGAAAACCCATGTGAACACAGGGTTAGCATGCAAACTCCACACAGAAATGCCAACTGACCCAGCCGAGGCTCGAACTAGTGACATTTTTACTGTAAGGCGACAGCACTACCTAGTCCGCCATCGCGTCCCACACTTTAAATTGACTATTTTATTTTAATGTGTTTGATAGAATTCATTTTTGTTTAATCAGTCTAACTGCACCCTTGCTCAATTATAAAAAATAATAATCATTTAACTTTTTAACGTTTTTAACGTCAGCTTGTCATGTTTTTTCAGCATAGTACAAATTAGCATATTTTGCACAATAATGATGCCTTTAAAAGAGTATTGTGTTTTTAAAAAATTTGTGTACAGATGCAAACAATCCCAGTTCACGCTAATCTGCTGTAATATTCAGGCCTGCCAGAAGATGGCGATGTCTCTTTGTAAAGAAATAATAAACGTCTAATCACATATGGTCCTGTAGTCCATCATTGTTGCTTTGGGTGCTAGGTACTGGCACATCTATGGACTAAAAATTAACAATGTACAATACAGTTGACATCACTTTTTTTACAAATTCACAATCTTTTAATGACAAATAATAGTATGTTTTTAAGAACTTGCAGTTTGAAACCAAAAATCTTCCAAAGTATGCATATATCACACGTAACTGAACAATTCACTTTTTAGCTGATAGTGTTGTAACATCAAAAATCTCAGGGTTCGGATCACAATATGGTTTTTGAGTCACATATTGGACCAGAGGAGACGACAAATGTAATTTTTAGTTCTGTAAAAAACAGTACTGCAAGACACTTTTGGTTTTAACAACCAGAACTTAGAACCTGTAATTTTATTCAAAACAAAATCAAGAAATAATCAGCTGAATAATTCTAAACTGTGAAATATTCAGTACATGTTGCTGTTAGCACTAAATGTAGAAATCTAACATTATAATTTATTACAACCCATGTTTATTTTTAGTCTCAATAAATGATTCCGTTATTCACTCATAAAATTTCATGTTTTTTTGCTAGATGTGTCATTTTTAAAGAATTATTCAGTGGCATATTTTTGATGGCCACCTATTGGTTAAATAATGTAATTGCTGCCTACAACTGTCATTTTTGAGTGTCGTTAAATGCATATGACGGTGATTTTTGTTTACCATAAACCATTAGTAGTTTTATCTAAACTATAAACTGTTATCCCAGTGTTATTTGACTTTGTAACTTCATAACTAACTCAAAACACTAAAGATAGATTTTTGCGTTTTTCAAACACAGATTTTAAGCAGCGTTTGGAAGGATTAATAAGCATATGCAAATCCTCATCATTTATAATTTGTTGCGTGGGTGTTGAGATACCGATCTTTTAATGATTAATCGTGCCACTTACACTGAATGAATTAATGCAGGCTAAACCAGTAATGACAGAACCCACCACAACTAACTCCGTCATCATTATATTTTACAGGAAAGCCTAAATGCTATCAATGCAAATTTAGGGATAATCTTAAAAAAAGTTTTTTAAAAAAAGTATTAATCTGCATGATTGATGTGGTGATTAGTGATGTGTGTTCCCAATCGTGGGTTTTGATTGGTCATGAAACAATCGTGATTCGTTACACCTCTATTGTTAGTAGTTTCACTTAAACATTTCCTTAGGGAAAGTTCATATATGTTAGAATTTACTAGCAAAAATGTGACGACATATTCATTTCGTTATTATTTCGAAACTATTATTGTAGTGTGACCAAATATTAATGCTCTCTGTAAGACACACACTGGCTCCCTGCCTCGCAGTCTAGCATACGCGTATCACCATCTGCCTGTTTGCTTTTGTGTGCTTGTTGCATGTAGGAGGCGCATTCAGCAATCATCTTTCTGTGAGTCACACGCAATATAATATCCATCCAAGCCTCCCGTCGCTCTAAGAGTTTATCTTCTCAGTGGGAGGAATTTCCACATCTCAACAAGCTGAGACAATAAAAAAAAATTGCACTGTTGGCTGTTTTTTTAAGCAGCGGAGTCGAAACTGGCTTTGAAAAGAATCACTTCGTGTCGTTTTACATTACAACTTTGTCTTATGATTGGATGTGCCTGCAGACAACTTTGGCCTCATTTTGCTAAAAACAGAAGGGATTTTCCTTTGCTTTTTTGAAAGGTGTGACTTGGAGATGATAGCATTATATAAATAATCCCACGTGGATTCACAGAAATGACTAAAATGCTGTATTTTGCATGCCTGGCCAGTAGATGGTGATGTAATTATGAAAAGAAACTCTATGTGCTCACATATAGCTATGTAGTTCACTATTATAATACGATATGGGTTGGGCGATAAAACGATAATAGCAATTATTGTGATCTATTATTTTTCCCTAATAAAACAAAAATAGTTTCCCTAATAAAACAAAAAAAGCTAAACTAAATGCCGCTACTTGCTGCACACAGATGGTCGTTTAAACCAAACAACAGCGCAAGTTTACATTTGTTTAAATGTGAATAAGTCTTAAACCAATCATGTGACCAGATTTAAAGAGAAGTGTTTGAATTTAGCACACAACGCAAATTTCTCAGATTTAGTTTCAAGCCAGATGAAGCCACGCTGGCATTCTCAAAACACTGACAAACAGGAGAAATACTGTGTTATGAACAATCCTGCTAAAAGGCCATTGCACTCCAATTTGCACCATGGTATTGTGTCAGGATTAGGAGGTATGCTTAAGAATTATATTATGTTGTTATGGTAGACATGTGTTGAATGTGTTAAAGGAATAATGGAATGGAATTATAGTAATTGTCAGTATTAAGCTGCAGCATTTGCACATTTGTATTTGTACTCGATGTGTTCAGGCTAGTGTTTTTCATACAATAGGTTCATGGAAAACACAATTAGAATTTAACATGGTAATGCAGTGCTATATGCATGCGTTTGCTTATGGATGATCTAAATTGCTTATAAGGATCTAAATGTATGACATTATGGATGACTTTGTTCAGTTTTGTACAATTGAAGTCAAAATATATATAAACAGTTTTACAGATGTTATTTATTGTGAATTTTTGTTTTTATTATTCTTTTGGCTAATGCGATTTGTAAAAAATGTACTTGTTACTCTCCCATTCACTGCACTCCAAGTTGATGAAGACTTCCGGTACTGAGAAACCCAGAAATGTGAAAAGGGTCCATTGTCAAGTACTCAAAACATAGTCTACATGCCTGAACCTATAGCATATAAAATATTTTGTGGTTTTGTGAAACACTAAAATGTTACACTTGTTATGTAAATTCCCAAAATGTACCCAAAGTTTTTTGAAAATGCTGTCATAAAAAAAAAAAATCCGCTTAATCTGACCGTTTTCAACCTGTTGTTCTAGATTACTCTGGATGTGCTGGCTGACATGGGCCACGAGGAGCTCAAAGAGATCGGGATCAATGCTTATGGTCACAGGCACAAACTCATCAAAGGCATTGAGAGGCTGCTGGGCGGTCAACAAGGTCAGTTTACGAACATTCTGCTCTCAAATAGCATCTGTTCACGGCCAAACAAAGTGTAATTTTAATGTGCCTGTGTCCTGCATTTCAAGGTGCCAACCCATACCTGACGTTCCACTGTTCGGGTCAAGGCACAGTGCTGATCGACCTGGCGCCCGATGACAAAGAGTTTCAGTCAGTAGAGGAGGAGGTGAGATGGCCATTCAGATTAAAATACAGTAGGGTATATTAAAAATGGGTTTCCTTCATCTGTGCTAAGATAAATAATTGAAAAGTGATGTGTAATTCCTGTTAGGAATGAGCTTGATGGTCAACTTGTTGTCCAGCGACTCAGAGATAAGTTACTGATGTAAATAGCTTTTTTTTTTTTTTTTATAGATTTATTTACTTATTTATTTACTAACTCGTTTACTCATTTATTTAAGTTTGTAAAGTGCTTGGCAAAAATTAGCACACCACTTCTGGAAAGGAATGTTTTTCTTCATCTCTCAGGTAATATAGCCACTATGTTTTGGTGGCTATAAACAAGTTCTATTAAACCATCCTATCCATTAAAACAACAGTTTGATCACCTAACATTTTTATGAATAGAAACATAATACATTCTACAAACTACAAAATTTCAACTAAATATGATATTTGGTTATGTTTCCCTTGTTTATTAAAACTTTGTGAAATTTTCTCCCAACAATTTAGTTTGGGTTTACTAATTTTAAGACAGTGGTCTTAATTTTGTTTATGTTAGATTAGTTCCAAATTTGGCTTTGGCATTGACTAATTTATAAGCACAAGTATATTTTTTGTAAAGCTTCCTTTACAAAATATTAATTTAAAATAGAGATTTGTGAAGGGTGTCCTAAAATGTTGTATCATTCTCACATAAGAAATTTTGAATTATTTTTTGATCCACTTCAAACGAGAACTGCGAGACATGTATGTATTAGTGAAGCTTTAATGAGATTAATGTGGGCATTCACAGACAAAAAATGGTTAGATATTAGATTTTGGTGTGAGGAACTTATTTGTAATTTTGTCACTTTAATTTTGTGTATGATAGAAGTTGTAAACTAATTTTGTTGTTTCTATAATTATAAATTTTTAATAATTATAAGTTAATTAAAAGTTATTTTATTAAGTTATTAGTGTCAGTGAAAGTTATCACTTATTTTTGTGTTATTTATTATTTAGGGAACTTTAGTGTGTAAACTAATATAATCTTATTTGTTTAATGTGTGATATAACTTTTTTAGTCATTTAATAATTATTTTTAGTCTTATTTTCTTATTTTTTTTGTAGGTGTGATTTCATTAGCGCTCATGTAAATGACTTTAATCTTACTATTTTATCGTATTTTTATTTAAATACTTTATTGTGCAATTACAGTTACAGTAACTTACAGTCTGATTTCACATATATTTTACGTGATTTGACCCTATTGAAATGCCGTGTAACATTTTACAGTTGCAAAGTACGATCAGAGAGCATAGAGATGGAGGCAATGCTGGAGGTGTTTTCAGCAGATACAACATCCTGAAGGTGAGTGTGTTCTCATTTCACTTACATTAAAAGTGATGATGGTTAGTTCATGGTTTGAATGCTCATTAATCATGCAAGCAAGGATATCAAAGTTTGTTTCTTGTTGGTTCAGATTCAGAAGGTGGTGAACAAGAAGCTGCGAGAGCGATACACACATCGACAGAAGGAGATCGCAGATGAAAACCACAACCATCACAACGAGCGCATGCTCTTTCATGGTACCATCAACATATGCTCTTAACCCTTTATATGGTCGCTTCATTGACATTCATTATAATTACATTTTGCATTCATGAAAAATAAACATTGTTCATTTTAGTCCTGGGGTCTGTTCTTCGTAGCTCACTTAAATGATCTAAGATGATTTGGAAGATCCTGGATCTTTTAATGTTGATAACTGATCTCTGGCTAATTTAGTTCTTCAAACAAGTTTGTGAATCGGATTAAAATGTCTGGATGAACTGATCTGAGATTGCTGCGTGTGTTGTGAAGGACTGATCTATCGATCTGCGAAATCATGATCAGCAATGCAATGATTGGCTGACGGCACAGCAGCGTAATGACATCATCTGATTAATATTCAATTACCCATGTGAGCAAAATTACATCAAATTCATTGGAAACGGTTTGTTAAATATGACACGCAATAACTTTACACCTTGTTGTGGGCTGCATGATTGGCCCTTTCATGTGTCAAGAGCAGTTCATTTAGTTTTACAGTTAGAGCTGATTTTTCTTATTATAGTACCCATAGTAGTATTATTGGAGCCGTTTTTTTAATTGGTGTAAAGAATAACTGGATGTTTACAAAAGCATTTTGACATTAGTAAAGGCGTCTGCAACTTTTATGAAGCATCAAATCACCGTCATATCTGTCAAAACATGTTTATGACTGCATAAATGTATTATTGCTTTTGAAAGGTCACATATTGTGCATTTCTATTATCATACACAAATTGTACTAAAGCAATCTAAAAAGTACATATCGATAAGTTATCTCTTTGCACCACCAGGTGGCAGTCTGCACCTTCTTTCAGATTTCAGTTGCAACCCATATCAAACACACCTGCCTGTAGTTATCACGTTGTGTTCAGGTCCTAATTAATTGGTTCAGGTGTGTTTGATATTGGTAGCAACTGAAATCTGCAGGAAGGTGGCTATCCAGGAACAGGGTTGGCCACCCCTGGTATATAACTACTACTGTAAGAAAATATCAGAATTCAGTACATACTTTCTGTTTTATCTTTGCTTGAACTGAGCCGATCTAATCCTGTTTATATGAATTAAACCTGCTTCCGACCAGGTTTGAGCTAGCAGAACTCTCAAATCAGTTTTGAAGAACGAAACGATCCTGGATCATCCATGGATATTAAGTGGTCTTAACTTCCATGTACTTGCATCAAGATATAAATACAATGTACTTATTGTGTTTACAATGTATTGCAGAACATTCTGGTGCTTTTAAGGTGGGAGACGGGCAGAGTTAGGGTCATATGGTGATATTGGAAAGTTTAAGGGTGGGTTAAGGTGTAAATAATTAAGATGTAAACAGAAATTAAATACATTGATGTATTAAATCAATCATAAGTACAAAGTAAAACATGTATTTACACAATAAGTACATCGTAACAAATGCTTAATTTTGGTGTTCAGTACATACCAGTTAAGACCACCTATTATAAGGTGGGACCTTAATTTAAAAGTCGTAAAGGGTCAAAAGTCTTGTAATAACTTAAAAATAACCTTTAATTAAAAGTTTTTTTTCCATTGAGTGTTTCTGTGTGAGCCCTATAAAGGGTTAAAAGTGTACATATCTGCCTTGTAACTGCAAATGAAGCTGGTTTGACAATAAATAAATAAATACTGCTGCTCTTCTGCTGATCTGCAGGCTCACCATTCATCAACGCCATCATCCATAAAGGGTTTGATGAACGACACGCTTACATCGGTGGCATGTTTGGAGCGGGCATCTACTTTGCTGAAAACTCTTCCAAAAGCAACCAGTACGTGTACGGCATCGGCGGAGGAACAGGCTGTCCAACACATAAAGACCGCTCCTGTTATATCTGTCACAGGTACACACACACAGAAGATTATAGATTAGTTCTCATATACAGTTTTTACGAGTTATAAAATATATATATTGAATATCATGAATTTGTTTTGTCAAATTACAATTTTTACTCTCCATTTAAAGTTTAAGATTTAGATTGTTGTTGATCAAATAAATTAAAACAGCACAATTTTTTAACAACTTCAAGCAACATACTTTTTGTTTAGCTTAAAATTAATAGAAGTGAATACGACTTCTACTTGACAAATAAAAGCTATAAAAAAATAAAGCTTTTCAGTCAGTGAAAATCTGGGAAAAGAATTTGGCTTAGAGTGGGATCCCTGGATATATGACGTGGTGATTTATTAATGGGGGGATAACGGGAGCACTTACCCTACATGACCAGCTGATGGCGCTGTATGTCTAAAAATACACTTCTGCTCAACATACATATTAGCTTCAGGAGCCAGACGCTACGTGTGTTGTTCCTTAACAGTATCTGAAATCTAATGTTGTACTAAAGTGTTAAGTAAACATCAAGTGCTCTTTATTTATATCTACATAGTGATCTGGGACATTGACCTAGACAGATTGTTGTACATAAATTATTGTTATTGTATAGAATTGGCTTGTTTTGGCACATTTAAAACATGTGGCTAGAAAATTAGGAATCTAACTTTTTTGCTAGGGCAAGTAACGTTTTGTCCACTGGCCTAATTTTTTAAGAAATTGAACCCAAATGCATCCATGAGATGTTTCTTGCATAAAAAAAGTCTTAATTTATAAACATGTTTAAAAAAAAAAATCAACAAATACTATTTTATTGCAAAAAATTGTTTTCTTTTTAACTTTGTAAAAACTTGCTTGACACCCTGTCATCCCACCACTGAGCGATATTCATTAAAATATGAAAAAAAAAATATTGTAATAATTACTAAAATGTAGTGATCTACTGCAACAGTGTCATAATTTTTATTGATATTTACTTGATTTGTTAATTTATAGTAATAGATTTTTATATTGCATTCTATTGCGAATATAATCAAGCTATTTATAGTCAAATGTTTTCTAAAATTTTGTCTTGTTATAAATTAAACTGGATTTTTTTTAAATATCAACATCATATAAATGATGTAATTGTATTGTGGACAGATGCTTTTTTAGGTTGTTGAATCATGCCAATACAAATCTTGTTAAAAATTGTTTGTATTATGTAATTTTTAAAAATTATATATGTAAAGAATTGTATTTTATAATTCAAAAATGTTTATATATATATATATATATATTTTTTTTTATCATAAAATTATACTGTTTATAATGTTATGATTACAATAAATGTACATTTTAACTACTGCAAATGTCATTATTCTGTTTGCAGGCAGATGCTGTTTTGCCGGGTGACTCTGGGTAAATCCTTCCTGCAATTTAGTGCCATGAAGATGGCCCACGCTCCTCCTGGGCACCACTCTGTCATCGGCAGACCCAGTGTCAACGGACTAGCCTATGCCGAATACGTCATCTATCGAGGAGAACAGGTCTGACACCTCACCTGAGTTTAATACATGTAAATAGGGCTGCATGATATTGGAAAAATCTGAAGATGCGATATTTTGTTTTATGCAATACAGTGGTTCCTTGTTTATCGCAGGAGTTACATTCTAAAAATAACCTGCGATAGGCAAAATCTGCAGCTAAAGTAGTCAGCTTTATTTTTTCACAATTGATATAGATGTCGTAAGCCTGTAAAACCCCTCACTACACACTTTATACACTTTTCTCAGGCAGGCGTTAACATTTTCACACTTTTCTCTCGTTTAAACAAGTTCAGAACTTCATAGAAAATAAGACCAGAATTATTGAATTAAACCAAAGATCAAAACCTGTTGTCAGACGCAAACGTTCATTGCTGTCTGCGAAAAGGTTTATTAAGCTTTTGTGCATATAATGCTGGCAAAAAAATCTGCGAAACTGTGAGGCCGCAAAAGGTGAACCGCATTTTATCGAGGGACCACTGTATATATTGCGATATACTGTGTCTATACAATTTCATCAAATGATCGAATGACACTTTTTGCAACAAATTTTTGGTTACCCTTTGCACACATTACAAAGTCCTGGCTGCGGAGGAAAAGTATATAGTTACTTGACTGGCCTGTCTGCTGTCCCGACCTGTCTGCAATAGAGAATGTGTGGCACATTTTGAAGTGTAAATCAATACAATGAAGATCCTGTACTGTTGCCCACCTTAAGACTTGTTGGCAGGAAGAATAGCTTAAAAAATTACGCCTGCAACTCCTCATCACTTGGTGTCTTCAGTCCCTAAATGTATTTTATGTATTGTGAAAAGGAATGGCATCAATGTAAAGTGGTAAATGCTTTATTGTTCCAACTTTTGTTAGACATGTATTGCAAGAACCAAAATTGAAATGTGTTTATTTAGGGAAAAATCTATAAAAATGTTTGTTGTATTGTCTGCAGTGAAATACAAGTTTAGAAATCGCTATTTTTTATTTGAGTTTTCCATACTTTCTCAACTTTTTCTTATTTGGGGTTGGGGCTCCTTGTTAATAGTTAATAGGGTAGTTTAGGTATTGCTTAGGATTAGGGTTGAAGAATAAGATCTTACAGAACATGCTTTATAAGTACTAATAAGCAGTCAATATCTCTATAACATTCATGCTAATGAGCAACTAGTTAAGAGTGAGAATTGTTCCCTAAAGTGTTACCAAATGTAACTTTGATTGACTGGGATGATTCTGTAGGAGAGCGAATCATGCATAAAATGTAATAAACAAACAAACTATGACCATAGATATATATGCAATAAAACAACGATAAAAGTGAAATAAACAGTGCATGCTTTATGGTTTTGTATATTTAAACGTAAAAATTACACTGCAAAGTCAACTCAACATTTCATATATATGTGATGCGACAATTGTGCATGCACACATTGTGGTATCGATGGTGAAATGATATATTGTGCAGCCCTACCTGTAAACATAACACAAAAACTGTAGATAGATGCTTCATTTCTGACCTTCGTGTTTCTTTCACAGGCCTACCCAGAGTACCTCATCACATACCAGATCATCAAGCCCGACAGCACACCCCCATCCCCGGCAGGAGCAGAGCAGAAGTCCTAGTCCACAGATCTCAAGACTGTTACTCTCACATTTCATCCATAAACCTCTGCGCTGACTCTTCATTTGCAGTTCTGCTCCATGTCAGTTCCCCGTTGAGTGTTTACAAGAAAGAGTTGCCTTGACTTGGCCGAGTCTCCACCCTCGTCTTCAGGTCAGGGGTCTGGATATAAATGCCATAACGCTGTTTCATGGCTAAAATGAAACGTTGTGAAAGACAACAAGTGACCTCTTCCCTTACATTCTACTACATTTAACACCGTTTCAGGCATTAAAAGGTGATTGGTTACCCAAAAATGAAAAATTGTACTCATCATTTAATTTTTCTGTTGAACGCAAAAGATATTTTGAAGAATCTTTAAAAGTCAATTGATTTCCGTTGTAGGAAAATAATACTATGGAAGTCAATGTCAACATTCTTCAAAATATCTTCTTTCAGGTTCACCAGAAGAAACCTAAACAGGTTTGGAACGTGAGAAAATGATGACAGAATTTTCTTTTATTTTTGGGTGAACTGTGCCTTTAAAAGGAACCCTGCGTGTTAAGACTTAAGGTTTAATATTATAAAGATGATGTCCTTTACTGTATCATGTGTTTTAACTACATATAAGATTGTTTCACTTTAAAAACAATTTTATTTTACATTATTTTCGGTGTGCAGTGAAAACTGCAAAAAAAATTTTTTTTTACTGCAGCTCAACTTAAAACTAATTCAATGATTTAGTATGATTCAAAAATGATTCAAAAACTGATTCAGTGGAACATTGTGGGGCTTTAGAATGTAATATTTAGTTCAAGGGCATCTCTTGAACTGAAAATAAAACACTTTCAAGAGGAGAAAAGAATAGGAAAATGTCTGTACACAAATAACATTTCTGACAAACCTTGATCTCTCCACTTCAGCCCTGATTACAGGTGGAGATGGACACAAGATCAAGTGTACGATTTTGACCGCTAAACATGCTAATGTACCATTTCAAGCATGTTTAGCATGTAGTGGATATTTTATTTTGTAGATTTCATGTGGTATTCAGAGCTCTTTAAGCTTGTGTGTAAAAAAGATGATATTGAAGGCTTTCATCACTTCTCTTGTTGCATATGACTAAAAATTAACATCAAAAGCCACACAATGTGGTATTAAATTGAGTTTCATTGTTGATTAAAAACAAACACAGAACACTGAGGGGAAAAACTCTGACTTCAAGCACTGCACATCTAAAATAATAACACCCTCTAATCCAATATGAATGTGGATTTATAAAATCTGATGTATTCTTAGGTTTTCTGCTACATATTTCAGTAACAGACATCATTTATTTGAATTTAAGCCGTCTTAAAGGGATAGTTCACCTAAAAATGACATTTTCCATTCCATTGATTCACACTCAAATGGTTCCAAATCTCCACAAAACAAGATATTCTTATTATTTTTTTTACAAAAGAAAATAATGTGAAGAATATTCGAGAATAAACAGCCATTGATATTAGAGACAAAAACTACTATGATAGTCAATGGAAGTCAGTTTTTTCCCCACAATAATTCAATATATCTGTTCAACAGGTTTGGAACAAGTGGAGGATGACAGAATTGTAATTGGGTGAACTATCCCTTAAATAGCCAGAGTTCCTTATAGTTGTTTCTTCCAAATGGTTTTACTGTTACTGTGATTAATTCTCTTTCATTCTTGTCACTTTAATTCACAATTGTGATATAAAACACACACAAGTTTCCTGAAATATATATAATTTTTTAGTTTTTTTTCTTTTTTCTTTATGCATTATCAACAACTAAAAAGCCTTAGATGGGTTTTAAAGCAAGACGAATGTTGATGCAGAGACCGGAAATATCGGAAAAAGCCTTTGACCACAAAATAGCAAAAATTGTGTGCTCTAATTTTTTTATTTTTTTATTTTTAACATATCTTTGCACAGGAATACTGCTCAGAATGTCCCATTCCATCGCCCAATCACAGCCCGATCCCAAAATGCATCTTTTTAAAACAGAATTTGCACTTTTAAGCAGGACTTAAGTTATTCAGAATAATTTTAAAAAGACGTAGGTTTAAAAAAAAAATACAATTGTACAGGTTGTGTAACGGACAATGCCTTTGTATAGCTTTTAATGTTGTTTACTGATGCAGAGTGGGTTTTATTTAGTACTGTAAAGGAAGCTGAAGTTTTCCTTCTATATTTTCAGATTTTGCTTTCAATACGTAATTCCGAAATCTTGTTCATTCCAGTCTGGTTTTTCTGCCGTCATGAGAAAGGCCTCTTTTTTCCCGCGAGGGTCTCTGTAATGTTATTTTTCCTGTTACACACTACTGAACTCAGCAGCTCATCTTTCAGAAGGAAGAAGTGAAGGAAAGACGTGGCTCTACCTCTGGTCAGCTTCGCTCAGGTGTAGTTTGTGGTGTGTCCTGGAGGTCATTTATCTGCCTTACTCCAGAGAGAAGACCTTTCTCCAGCACAGATGCGTATGAGGGAGGTGGACGGACTCGAGTGTTTCTCAATTGTGCGAGCTGCGTTTTTACTTTATTTCTATGTTCTTGTGAACTCTAAACAGAAGCGGCTTGTCAACCCAAAGCCATCAGCGGACTAATCAAACACTCCACAATCATGTAAAATGGTCTTAATAAAGTACGTCATAAATGAGTCTGCTGGTTTCTTTGTGTGTGTTCTGTTACTTACAGATTGGATTTTTCTATATGTATAACTATTTATAAATCATGATTTATGATAAAACACTGTAAAAAAAAATTCTGTTATTTTAAGGATTTTTTTTCCAGCAGCTGGGGTGCCGGAAAAAAAAAACTTAAAATAACAGACGTTAAATTAGACATATTTGTCTAAAAATAACGGACGATAAATTACAGAAAATTGCCGTAAAATAGCAGACATTAAATTACAGACATTTGCGGTAAAATAACAGACATTAAATTACAGACATTTGCGGTAAAATAACAGACATTAAATTACAGAAATTTGTCATAAAATAACACGTTAAATTACAGAAATTTGTTGTAAAATAGCGCACGTTAAATAACAGAAATTTGCCGTAAAATAACAGACATTAAATTACAGAAAGTTGTCGTTAAGTAACATGCGTTGAATTACAGAAATTTGTCGTAAAATTAATTTACAGAAATTTCTGTAATTTAGGTTTGTTTTTTACGGTAAGTTTCTGTAATTTGATGTCTTTTATTTTATGACAAATTTCTGTAATTTAATGTTTGTTATTTTACGGTTAATTTTTGTCATTTTTACGGCTGTTATTTTACTGGTTTTTTTGACACCCCAGCTGCCAGAAAAAAAAGGTAAATAACCGATTTTTATTATTATTATTTTTTATAGTGCAGAGTCTGCGGGTAAAGTCTTAAAATGTCATAAATCTCAAAAGCTAAATGTTAAAAATGTCCTGGATTACTGAAACATTGTGTGGTAGGTCTTAAATCTTTTTAACAGGTCTTAATTTTCCTTGTACAATAGGTGAGTGAATTATTGTTTTTAGTATTGAATGAAAACTTGGAGGGTTTATAAAACGCCTGACTGAATTACAATGTAATTATTGTTTTTTTTTAAAAGAACAATTCGTCGATAATTCAGTGAAAATGTTACTGAAAGTCATGGAATACACGTCTGGTCAAACAATAGAAACCAAAACCGTCATGTATTTTATGACAAGCTATGACGTATTTTTGAAATGTGTATATGATACGCTGAAAATTATTTGATGTTTCTACGATGCATTATTAAATTGTATTAGTTAAATTCTCAATGCGCTTTAAATATGTAAAAAATATTTCCATTTTTTTCCGTCTTACCGTGTCGTCTAATTCGTTGAATGAATCATTTCAGCTGCTAATTTTTCCTACAGTGTACCTCTGGTGGTTAATCATATTCATTATGGTTTGAACAAGTCGCTATTGTTTTAGCGTTTTCCAACAAAGTTTACCTGAAACGAGTGGGAAGTCTAGTTTCTGCGAGTCAGACAATGAGGAAAGGTGAAATCAGCTATCAAACCCACACTAGAGGGCGCTGTGGCTCTTTAAAAAAAACTATTCATTATTCAGAAGGCTCGCCTCATTTATCAGATTTAACACTAATTCCTGCATAATAGCGCGCTGTTCTTTTATATCCCTTCTTAGTCCATGTAAGAAATAATGAGATGGCTCATGCTCTATTCATTTTACAAAATGATTGCACTATAACTTACAGGCCTACTGCTGTACAGGAAAACGTGATTCATCATCTGCAGATTTTTCGTTATCTTCCACACAATTAAATCACACCACGCTTTCCTTTAAGAACACAGTTTATATTTAACAATGACAATCGTGAGATAAATAAAAATGTACATATAATACAACAGAACAGGGCAAAGTTTTTTTTTAAAAAAGCGTAACCCTCTTGAATGATATTGCCATGAGACAATAACATCTCACAAGTACAGTAAAAAGTATTGCATTCATCTCATCAGTGATTGACAGACAAACAAACCAAGGAATTTGCCAAAAGAAAGTGCTATAAAAGGTGCCCACACAATCTTATAAATAGAAGTACCACATTATACCATCTGCTATGTTTTCTCTTTCCCTCTCAGAGCTTCTCAAAGGCGGAAATATTACAAAAAACATCCCATTCCCAGCTTCCAGTGTAAAAAGCTTCAGTGTTTACACCCTTCCTTTTAAATAGACTTATTAATGAGAACATTCCATGTAGAAGTCATTGTCAATAAGGCATACAGCAGAAATAATTCAAAATCTCCTCAGTACAAGTTGGCAAAAGAAATTTTGATCTGAAATATCAGACGTTTTAAATCATGATCACACAATATAACAAAAAATAAAAATCATACAGTGCTTTGGTGGCGACTGGGAGGAAGGAGAATCAGGTTATTGCTCTGATCTGACAAGAGTGGACTGGTATTGCAGACTGAAAGGCGATGGAGCCGATTTGAGCAAAAGCGTCTGTGTACCTTCTCTGAACAAGGCACTGACAATGCAAAACTCGACAAAAAGACACTTTCTGTCAAAAGTCTGTCTCCATTAAAGGAGTTCAAGAAAATCGTCCACAAATGAAGTGATAAAAAAAAAATGGGAGGTCGACAGACAGACCTCCGATCTTTGAATCCCACCTCTGCCGCCAATGTTTTTGGAAGTGGAAATGAAAAGATGTGCCATCCACACAGGATATTATGACTTGTTCTTCTGATATTAAAGGAACACTCTACTTTATTTTGGAAAAGGCTCATTTTAGAAGTCACCTAGAGTTGAACAGTTGAGTTTTACGATTTTTGAATCCATTTAGTGCTTTTAGCTTAGCTTAGCATAAATAATTGAATCAGATTAGACCTTTGGCATCTAAATTTGATTAAAAAAAACTTTGGTTAAGGTGATTTTCCTATTTACTGCTTGACTCTTCAGATTAATCCAAGTAGAAAATAGCAACTTTCACTTTTTTGAAATTGAGCGAGATGCTAATGGTCCAATCTGATTCTATTATTTATGTTAAGCTAAGTTAAAAGTGTTCTTTCCAGACTCAGAGATTGGCCGAATAGTAAAACTCAACTGTGAAACTCTTTGGGACTTGTAAAATGTGCCTATTTCCAAAAAAAAAAAAAAAAGTTTTCCTCTAAGATGGAACTTCTGCGTGATTGTGCCGAGTGAAGTACGTCAAAAGAAACGCGCCCTTACTAGTGTGCATGTGCAGTTTTTTAATTATTTAGAGTTTCATTGTGTATCAGCAGCTCGGCGAGGTTGTGATGGGACTCTGTAAGTATGTGAGGCTGCCGGGCTGGTTGTGGGTCACCACTGACATTGGGAAGCTGAAGATGAAGGGTGATGTCGGGGTAGAGGAAGACTTTGGGCCAAGGCTGGCGGAAGGACTGGCGGCCTCAACGGAGCAGGACGTTGCGAGCACCTGAGACTCGAACTGCAGGAGTTGACCCATAAAGCTGAAGTTTGGGGAGATGATGCTGCGCCGCTGCTTGACAAACTCGAAGGCCTCCTCCAGACGCACCCGCTTCTTTTTCATCAGGTACGCCAGGCAGATGGTGGCAGAGCGAGAGATGCCAGCCTGACAGTGGACCAGAACGCGACCGTTGGAATCCTTGACGGAGTCTGAGAGAAGAGAAGAGAGTTTGGTTAAAGCACAGATAAAGATCAGAAATGAGTCATACTGCATACACAGACCAGCTGATGCACGCAGCATTCTGATGCAGATCCATAAAGAAGTCACGGTAAACACTTTTTATGTGGATATTATTATTTTTCTTTATAATTAATATATGAATTTCAGTAGCTCAGTAGTTAGCACTGTCGCCTCACAGCAGGAAGGTCACTGGTTGAGTCCTGGCTGGGTCAGTTGGCATTTCTGTGTGAAGTTTGTATGTTTTCCCCGTGTTTATGTGGGTTTCCTTCGGATTCTCCGGTTTCCCCCACAGTACAAAGACATGCGGTAAAAGCGAATTGAATAATCTAAATTGGCTATAGTGTATGTGTGTGAATGAATGTGCATGGGTGTTTCCCAGTACTGGGTTGCAGCTGGAAGGGTATCAGCTGTGTAAAACATATGCTGGATAAGTTGATAATTTATTCTGCTGTGGCAACCCGAGGCATAAAGGGACCAGGCTGGGGGAAAATGAAGGAATGAAAATTAAGATTATTAAATACTATTTATAAAACTACAGAATTATTATTATTATTAACAATAAAATTGATCATTATTATTTATAACTGATAAGAATTTAATATTAATATGAATTTTTAGTAATAAAATGCTATTAATTATAAAATTATTTAAGAATAATATTCATTCGTTAATTTTCTTTTTGGCTTAGCCCCTTTATTAATCTGATGTCGCCACAGCGGAAAGAACCGGCAACTGATCCAACATATGCTTTGCGCAGTGGATAAGTAATAATAATAATAAAACAATTATAAACAAGTATTAATTATAACTGATTTGATTTAAATTATATTAAAATAAGTTTTAGTATTTTATAACTAAAGTATGATTATTTTATTAATAATACAATAATAATTATAAACTATTATGAATTATAACTATGAAAGTAATAATATTAATATTATAAACTTCTAATAATAAAATGCCATTAAATAGAAAAATTTATTATTTTATTAACAATAATAATAATTATAAGAAGAAGAATAAACATTTTTTTTTATTAAAAATATATTTTTTTATTTGAGACAGACATCAGTGAAAGTAAAAAGGAAGCATTTGCTGATATGATCAGCAAGTCACGGTGCCAATATATTCAATGTGGTTGACCATTTTCAGCCATCATTTGCTGTTATACAAGTTTTAGCTCCCATTCTTAAATATTTATTAACATTATTTGTTTATTTATTCAAATCCTTTCATATTAATCTTTAGGTACACACGGTCATATAAAGTCACTGCATGAAGTATTCTACATTTTGTGACAGACATCAATGATTTAAAAGTGCGTTGAGTGTCATTTAATAACCACTCTGGGAAATTCATTCAGCAAACAATTTGTCAATTAGTAAACAGTCTTTGTGAATTATGTAAAATTATTAATCAAAGCTTAATTAAAGAGCTTTGCATATGAAATCTATGGGGGAAAAAACATATATTGCATCCCTACTGATATGTCAGTACATTTTG